TTCCACCCAAGAGGATGGACGTGGAAGTACATTGTCGATAGCTTTGCGCATAAAAAGAATGGCCCCACTACAACAGCAAACATCGACCACACGTACCGCAACCTCATTATCAGCAATCTGACATTTGGCACTGATAACATCTCGCGTGCACACGGCAACACAATATACACTGGTCATCAACACTCAGAGGACACTATCAACTGTGGTGTATTCGTGCTGTCCTACCTACAATGGATCTTGTCCAACCACCAATCGCTGTTGCCCCTGTCCCTCGTTAACACATTGAAGTTTGATCCTCGGTCATTCAAACTACCACGTGTTAGGCCAGAGGATGCACGCAAGTCCTATCTAAACTCTCTTTCTCAGAGTGATGACATTACAATATAACATAACCAATAAATAACAATCATAGATACACATAAGAGACATCATACCCTCACAGACGTACCCTCACAGACATACCCTCACAGACATACCCTCACACACTTAATTCGCAAAAATCAAAATAATAACTAACTGCTACGCCAAGGGTCTCGAACAGGTGAAGCTGGCTACCCACGGAAATTACCCCCCGAAACTCTTGTTACCTCAGGTGGGTGTTACCTCAGGTGGGTGTCAGTGCTTTCTGATCTGACACAAGTTAGTGCGCGGTACCTGACACCCAGGAAAAATAGAGATGTGTCAAGTATCGGTTACTTTTGGACTTATCAATATTTCCGAAAAAGTAATGTAAAAGGTATCTCCCATATGTTGCTTAATATATTATTTCCCGGACAGTGATAGATTTCTGATATAAATATTCACTCGAGTGGTTTTAGTAAGATCATTTAATCAAATAATAATTATAACTATTAATATAAATATATATATATATTCTAATCTTCAAAAATGATTAAAAATAATCAAATATTATATAACTTTATTTGTTTGTACTTTATATATAAATTATTGTCAATCAACTACCACCCCAACAATATTATATGTTGATCCATTATCAACTAATACATCGCTAGTATGTGGATTGGAATCATCGACTAACTTGGCTTGTCCAAACATCACCGCAACAATCCAATCTTTCAACTACCTTGTTTCACTCAACTCCAACATCACATCACTCCGTATTATAATGAATCCAGGCACATACTTGCCACTTCATCTTATCAATGATACTTTTGGAAATGCCCGAGTCCCCATTCCCTGCACCAACATTACCTTTGAACCTTCAACACTACCATCATCATCCAAATATGACGTGGTCATGGACTTCAGCGCATCACCCAATATTTTATTTGTTGATGGAATGGCAACTTATCCAAACTGCATCACCAATGTCAAGATCAACAATATCAAGTTGATCGATGTGTCCGTCCGATCGAATGGATATGGCCTGTCTGTGGAACTCAACAATGTCTCGTTCACCAGTGTGACTCCATCGGTCTATTACACTCCAATCATGATGACCACGTATGAAAATCTACCGTCATCCAATATTTCAAGGCCATCACTTATCATGAATGGTGGAGAGATCTCCAATCATAACTTATCCGCAACAATCCTGGGAGGAATTGTTTGGACTCTCTTTTATGATGTCACTATCAACAATGTTAAGTTCACCAACAACATTGTCAACACAATAATCTTGACCAACACTGCCCACACATTGATCACAGGCTCAACCTTCACCAACAACACCTTTGACGAAGAAATGATCAGTGTGAAGGGATCTGACTCCAACAACCAAACAATCATCACCAATTGCACATTCAACCAGAACGTCGCCAGAGTTGATCCCAGGTACAGCTACCACAACACCGCCATTGTGAGCAACTTTTTGTCTCAGCTTCACCTGACCGATTCAATCTTTGACGGCAACATCAACGCGTCATTTGTTGTGAGTAGCCGTGGACCCGCGTACATTGAGCGCATGACAGTTACAAACAATACCGTACGCAATGACGGTAGACTTGTGGCTCTCTACAACAGCAAGAATGCAACAATGATCAACAGTACATTGTCTGGCAACACTTTGGTTGACTCGTTTGTCGTTGAACTGTCATCCAGCAAGGTCACACTCACCAATGTTGTCTTTGACAAGAACCGTGTGACCAGTTCGAACAGCACATTGCCCACGCCAGACAGCAGTCTCATCCAGTGCAGTGGAGGAAGCATAACATTCAACAATGTTGTCAATAATGCTGGAGTCAACTTGATGAACTGCAAAATCGAGAGTAGATGTTCGGTATACGGTGATCACTCTGACATTTGCAAGTCAAAGGATCTCAGCACTGGTGCCATCGTTGGTATTGTCATTGGAGTCGTCGCCGGAGTTGCTATAATTGTTGCAGTGTTGGCTGTAGTCATCGTCAGAAGAAGAAGAACCAGAAACAACTAATAACAAATAAATGTTACTACGTGAGTGAATGAATGAATGAATGAATGTGTTTGAGAGAGAGATTATTCATGAATTATGAGAAAGAGAAATATCTTTGGCCCTCCACCTTGAGAAGCAAGAAAGGTCGTGTTCTGGTTCAAAATACAAAACAATCTCACATTGTTGTAAACATTGCATTGATGCCATACTTATACTACTACATTATATAAAGATATATATAACTTATAATGATGATGAGACTTGTTGTCATCACATTGACTCTGTTGGTGTGCATTGCACATCATCCAACACATGCTAACATTGAAGAGGATGTAGAGGCAGATGGACCACAGCCATTCTTTCCAAGTATGTCAATCAATCAATTAGTCAATCAATCGCTTACTGACCTCGCCTTTAATATTATAAAGATTCTTATATATTCAATGACTCTATAAGTTGTCAAGAACTACCTGGTTGTGACTTTAACAATGCATTGAATTGGCTAAACTCGACAGCACCAACAAATAACTCTAATGTATTACTGCGTTTCAAGACATCGGATCCTTTACAGTATATATACTGCTCCGAACAGACTATATTGTCAAACATTGACATTGGTGGAAATGTACTGTTCAACTACATGACGGTAACATCCACAGTGTTCATACGCGACTACTCCAACCTTACGATCAATGATGGCTACTCGTCGGCATATGTCACGGACTATGTTCTTGGACAACAGTCTGCACTATCGTTCGACATCAACTCGCCGTTGGTCATCGGTACGTTGGTGGCCGGCGTCAAGTCGCTGAGCTATCTTCGCGCGCCACAGATCACCTCGTCATTTGTGCAATCCCAGGGATATGTAACGATCGAGTCGCCCAACGCATACTTTGGCGAGGTCAATGCCACACACCTCCAGCGACTGTCCGTGTCCCATAGCACACTGACCATTGGCGGTGACCTCTTGTTGACGCCTGGCGTCGACCTGATGATTGAGACGGACCTGCAGCGCATCCCTGCCAAGCCGCCCATCTTTGTTGATGGCCATCTTACACTTGATGGATGGCTGTACCTAATGTCCACAGGCAACTTCGACACCAACGCTCAATACTATATACTTGGCAGCAACAATGCGATATCTGGTGGCTTCTCCACTGTGGAGTTCTCAGCGTCCGCCACCTACTACCTCAACATCACGAGCGATGGCGGTCGATCGCCCTACTACGAGGTGCTCTCATTCCCAAATCAGAACAACGGTCTATCGCCATCAATCATCGCGTTGATCGTCATCTTCTCATTGATATTCGTGGCCATCTCAATCTTCCTCATCTACGTCTTGGTCAAGTGCTATCGCGACCGAAGAAGAAGTAGATACAGCTATCAGCCTCTCTAAGCAGCAGGACTGAGGCCAAGGTTGAAGCCAAGTCGACCACCATGTACAGGATAATCATTCATTCATTCAACAATCGATCATTTGATTAAAGCTCAGGATGATGTTTATTGATTGGATTAGCATATTTGGTCTTCCGAATATGCCCATGCTTGGTCCATTCATCACCAGCTTGGTTGGCTTGGCGGTGGACAAGCGATGTAATCGGTGGCGGTCGTACAAAAAGGTTGGAGATACAAAGAAGTAGTGGTATATAAGTAGTAGTAGTAAGGTAATCGGTGTGGCTATGGTCACCTGCGTGACCTGGATGTCGTTCGGTTGGTCTTTCAATCAATGCTATGTATGTTATAGAGTACAGTTGGATATTGGGCTGTAGACACATTGACCAGTAGATGTATTGCACGTGTCGGATGTGCATCGGTTGTTATCGAAACAGCTCTTTGGGATGTGCTTGCAGGACATGCTGGAGGAGTCGCAGACGTCGGTCGTGCAGGGGTTGCCATCGTCGCAGTTTGGTGTGACGACCTGGCAGCCAGACACTGGGTTGCACACGTACTGAGTGCAGAATGTGCTGGCTGGACACTGCTTTGGTGCGTATGAGCATTGTCCTGTGGCGATGTTGAGCGTGTCGACAGTGCAGGCGTTGCTGTCATTGCAAGAGTTTACGCGGCGATTGATGCAGCCAATGTTGGGCTGGCAGGTGTCGATTGTGTTGGAATTGCCGTCGTTGCAGTTGACTGGAGTGTGGACGCAGTTGCCGGTGGTTGCACTGCAACTATCCAGTGTGCACTTGTTGTTGTCGTCACAGCTGATTGGGGTGTAGACGCAACCTGAGGTGGGCGAGCATGAGTCGGCGGTGCAAGGGTTGTTGTCGTTGCATGTGATGTTGGTGTGTGTGCAACCGGTGGTTGGGTGGCAGCCATCTGCCGTGCAGGCGTTGTAGTCGTTGCAGGACTTGGGGGACTGGCAGCACTTGCCATCCTTGATGAACTGATCGACGCATTGGCTGGTGTTGTTGGTGTCGCAGGTGGATTCGTTGGAGCAGATGTATGGTACGTGCAGGCAGCCCAGCTTGGTGTCGCAGTAGTCCAGAGTACCGTTGGTCGATGGGCCGCAGTTGACTGGGGTGTGAATGCATCCAGTGTCTGGATGGCACGAGTCAATCGTACAGATATTATTATCATCACAACCAACTGGATTATGGAAACATCCTGAGGACATTGAACAAACATCGGAGTAACACTTGTCGTGGCTGTTGCAAGAGGCACATGGATTATAAGGTGAGGAGCCTCCTCCTCCTATCAGTCCGCCAATACCTCCAAGTTGACCTAGGAAAGAGAGAACAAAGAAGATAGAACGTTTGGACAAGAGTTAGTTATGGATGATCCCGAAAATTTGCTGATCAGCTGATCATTACCAAAAAAGGAAACAATTAATCAGCTGATCAGATAGTTAATATGTACGGGCATTACATACAGTTTGTGATTGATACCAAGCTGGTGGATAGACATATTATTATTAAGATGGTAGTGGTAAACATTATTATCGGAAGGATTGATTGGTGAAGATAAGTATGTGATTGATTGTTTGAATGTTTGAATGTTTGAATATGTTTGATTGGTTGTTTGTTTGTTGATTAACTACTTGATTGATGTCCAAAACGACAGGAAAGACTCTGTCCTTATATAGAGGTATTACCTTAAGAGAGATGTTCACAAGGCAGACCTACCCGACACCCTCACTCACTCACTATCGCACCTACTTTAGAAGATATAAATAGATAAATATAAGATATATACGTATGTTGGTACAAATAGGACTTAAACGCAAGTCTTATACATGGCCCACACTGTTACATGTATCTATTAATGGGCGCGCGCAGAATGTCCTTCTACTCAACGGCAGGCACGGTGTACCATTGGTCCACCTCCCGCCCCATCAGGTGGCCTGACCTATCTAGGCCCACCACCAACCCGAGAGTCGAACAAAGGGGTGATCGATCACTCACACACTCGAGTGCCTACTTGATTGACAACACGGTTTAAGCGACAATCACAAGTGTGTGGTAGTGGCCCAAAGATGATTAGCTGACCTGCCTGATGTTTAGTGATTTCTTATTTATCTCTAAGTGGGCAGGTGAAAGATGTATCACACTTGTCTGGATGTATGTTGGTATGTATGTATGTATGTTGTAGGAAGTGTGTGTAATAACCTTGGTTATCATTCAGTGATTGAATTGAGAGTGATGAGTGATTGATCTTGTGTGTGTGTGTGCGAGTGTGTGGGGGAAAACACTGATGGAAAGAGGTAGTGACCATTCACTTGGAGATGATCCTGCAAAGGCCAAAACCCAAACAAAAGGATTGTTGTCAGACAACAAGAAGGTCTCTACTTGATCACAAGCAACATCACAAAGATATACGACAAACAGACAATCAAACATCCGGATCACTTGATTGGTGGACGTGATTGGAAGATTTATGCACGTCGTCCGTGGAGGTGGACAGCTCCATGTGAATGTGTGGAGACCTCCACGCGTCTGGTCGATCATGATCACATGTATACTTCCACTTCCTGCTGTCTAGATAGCAGCCAACATCCTGAAAGTTGCGTTGATTGGCGGGCAGTGATGGATGACGATGTACTGGTCGCCCATTCAATCAATCAATCATTCGAATCGACATGTAGTTGAATCCGATGTTGGACCTTTCACTGGATGGATACTTTATTGCTTGCATGGATAATCTAAGTAATAGCATGTGATTGGTTGATTGATTCGAACAACTCCAATTCGTAATAGGATCAGGACCTGATGAGATAAAGAGATTAAAGAATGAAAGAGGAGTGTGGACGAATGAATGAATGTGTGATGTGGTGATGATGATGATGAGGGAGGCGGATCAATCGCCATCCATTGTCGTGACTCTATCCAATCACACCTACGTGCAATGGAAAGGTAGACCGATATATTTAATCGCCCAACGTGAAGTATCTTGTGATGTGTGTAGTTGTGTGTATGTTCGCGAACGTTGATGAAGGCTGGATGGATGGCTGGCTGACTGGATGGCAATGTCGACGCTCCATTCATTCATTCATTCATTCTATCTATGTTTGTTTGTTTGTTTGTTGATTGATGGATGGTCTATAACAAAAGTTTGAAATATGGATGTTCCATGGCCTCCTTTGTCGTCAGTCTCTCAGCTGGATCGTAGCGCAGTAACTTGTCCAAGAAATCAATTGCCTCTGGAACAGCCAGGCTCTGGTTATCGCTTGTAACGAATCTTGCCCAAGGCTTCTTTGGATGTCTAGTTTGTTTGATTGATTGATTGAATGGTGAGTCAGTCGGGGCTGGGGCTGAGGCTGGAATAGTTCCAATCACACATACTTGCCGAGGATGTTCTGAAGAGAGTTATCGATGACGATTCCATATTTATCAAGGTAACGATAGAACTCCTCTGTACCTAATATCTTGACGATCTTGACCAATTGATCGATGTTGTCATGTCCGTGGAAGAATGGGTCGCGTCCAAACAGCTGATTATGTGGCGTGTGTGTGATTGATGGTCAGTCGATTGATTGATTGAATGATTGAATGATTGAATGATACATACGATTCCAGCAAACATACATCCAAGACTCCACATATCTAAACTATAATCGTAGTCCTCCATGTCGACGAGGAGCTCTGGTCCCTTGTAGGGACGCGAGGCAACACGAACGTTGTAGTCCTGGTTGGGGTGGTAGAACTCGGCCAGACCCCAGTCGATGAGGTAGAGCTTGCGCTTCTGATGATCGACCATGACGTTGCTCGGCTTGACGTCTCTGTGCATGACGCCATTGGAGTGGCAGAAATCGAGTGCGCGCAGCAGCTCCAGGATGTAGAAGCGCACGTCAAAGTCGGTGAGCGTGGGCGCCAGATGCTTAAAGTCGGTGTTGTTGATGTATTCAAAGATCAAAGACGGTGTCTTTGACTGGGGATCGCGCACCACGTCCAACAGCGTGATGATATTCGGTCCTCCACACAAGTTCTGCAAGATCTTAATCTCTCTCTTGATCTTCTTCTTCTTCACAGGCTTCAACACCTTAATAACGCACTTCTCATTAGTCTTTGCATGTGCACCCTCGAACACCTCTGAGTACTTTCCACGTCCAATCTTTCTAACTACTTCAAAGTCATCTTGTGATCTGTTATGTTATGTTTGAGTGATGTTTGAGTGATGATTGAGTGAGTCAGTGAACCTGTCATTCATGCGATCATTCATTCATTCTTGATTGATTGATTGATTCATACCCCCATTCTACATTGAGTGCTTCATAGTTCCAGTAGTCCTTTGGTTTGTTATAGTTTACATCGCAGTATATTCTGGCCTTGTTTCTCAATATTCTATTCTTATGTCTCTTTGAAGAATTCGTTACCATAGGTGTTGCCATGGTTCTATATATATTTAATCAATCTTATTATTAATAATACGTAAGATTAATAAATATAATATATATATATATGTATAAGTATATAAAATGATGGGAATGAATGAATGATGTCAATGAATGAATGAGAGTTGAGCAAAACAATGCTCAAAAGCTTCGTTTTCGTCAACTCGCAAGGTCCCCAACAATCTTGTTTCAAACAAAAAATTAACAAAAAATGTGTGGATGAAGGGTCATTCGCATCAATGAAGGACAAGAATGAACGAAGATAAAGATAAAGTGTATTAAGTTAATGTACAATGCTACAACTTACACCATTACTTGTAATGTCTAGTGTGAAGCTGTTGGAATCAGTCTTGAGTAACAACTGCATTGGTGTCACCCATTGAACTCTTGTGTTCTCAACTCTAAGTCTTCTAGAGGACGCAGATGTCGTTGAGGATAATGATGATGATAATGATAATGTTGAAGATGCTGCTGAGGTATTGGGGGTATTGGAGGAGGATGAGGACGAAGATGATGGCAATGATGCGGACAATGACGATGACGATGACCTAGATGCAACCTCATCCATTGGTATCTTGACAGTCTTTGTACAGATGAGTTGGGAGCCGAGTAGACCAAAGAAGCTGCTGTTGGTCTGGAAGATCTTGAGTGTGCAATCTTTGGAACTGAATGAGGCAAACTCTTTGCCATTGTCATTGAATGATAGTGCCGTGATGTGTGCTCGCTCATGTCCATCAAGTCGATTGCATATCGTTGCAGATTTGAGATCGTACATGACGATGGCGCCATCCATTGTGCCAAGTAGTAGTCGTTGCGATTCGTTGTGATAGGACATCATGGGGTATCGCTGCACCATTAGATGCAACACTGATGTGGTGTGTCGTAGACATGCCTCGCGTATCGCTGGCATGTGTTGATCTAGACTCTTGAGAATGCAGTCCAATACATTTGGCAAGAATGGAAGGACTGAGTTGGCGTTGTTCTTGATCAACAATCCAATCAATATGATCGCTTGGACAGTGCTGGATATCGCCTGTGCTTCATGATGTGCTATCTCATCGCCAATAGTTTGAATGAAGCGCTGGAGTGGGGAGTGGAATGGAGTCAGTAGGTCGTCCATGGTCATGGATCAATCAATCATTCAAACATACTATTGTATCATGTGATCCAATGAGTAAAATAGAGTTGGTGGCAATGTTTGAGAGTAGATCATTCTGCATTGACAGAGTGAATAGACACTTGATGAGATGAGGGACCTGGTCCCTGATGCCTGTTCCAGATGTATGAATGTGCGTGTGAGTACTACATCTTGGCATGGCCAGTCCAATCAATCATCCAACGAATCACTTACCATCACGCCACAGTTTGAAACCCTTGCCAATCAATTCAACGGCAGCTGAATACACTGGATGATCCTTGTTTCCAAATACCAGGGCAAGTAGTTCCTGTCCAATCCTAAGTGATAAGCTTTGGTTGTTGTTGGTTGAGGAGTCAGCAGTGTGATCATCATTCCAAGGTGTGATCAATTACATACTTTGGATGTAGGTCTTCCTTTCGATGTGATATAATCTTGGCCAAGACTATGATTATCCTGTCTCTCTCATAGATACCAAGTGATCCACAATTGGCTAAGTGATTAGATATGAGTGAGTATGTGTTGTGGTGTTGATTGAATGAGGTACATACATAGTATTGTATAATAATCAATGAGACCATGTAGTTGCTCGATTGGCATGCGCTCTACACTAACCTTGAATATGGTACGCGCTGAGAACATGATGTCGTCGGTGCTGTTCAAACAGAAGGACGCCAGGTAGGACAGGTCAGGATAGATGTATGATGTGAGCGAGTCGGGTATGTCCACACAGTACGATGTTAAGAGCTGTCCGCATATAGTCTCCATGCCACCCACGCGCAGTATCGTCCTGCTCATGGCCACGGCGGCCAGTGTGATCTGTGATGTGAGGAAGTCGGAGCATTGGAGTGCGGCATGCATGCGTGCGGCCTTGGGCGTCAGGAAGCTGAGGTTGCCGCCCTCGCCAAGCAGGCCGAATGAGAAGCGTGGTTCGGGGGGCGCCAGATGGACGTCGTTTGCGTAGACGGCGTCAAGCTTGGCGCTGACGCCCCATGGTATCAGATATGAGAACATTGACACCAGTTGATTGAGCTCCTCTTGAACAAAGGAGATGGGCGATGTTGTCGCGGTGGACGGGGAAGCGTCCACAGCCGAGAATGATGAGTTGTACTTGACGTGCATATCGGTGTACTTGATGATCTCTTCAGAGATCACATTGATGTTTAAAAAGATAGTCTGGATAGGTGGTTCTGTTCATGGCGTGGATGTTAGTGTGATTGCTGTGTCGCGACGGCATGATAGGCTGGCTGGACTTACCATCTTTTTGTGTGAATGCGAATGATTGAGTTGGCTCGGTGAAGTCGTCAAAGAAGTGATCGTCAAGGTGAGTTGTCGAGCTACTCAGTGGGATGGCGTTCTCAATGATGTCTCTTGCCATTTTTCCCTTGGCGCGTCCTTCAAGCTCGCCCGAAGCAATCACCCATACCGATACCGAACCATCAATAGTCTCCACGATGAAGTATCCTTGCTCAGGTCTCCAATACACTCCAGTGATCGTGAGTGAATGGACGCCATATATGTGTTTGCTATGAGTGAGTGAGCACGTCAGTTAATGATTGATTGATTGATTGAGCGTGTGAGCGAAAGAACATACCATTGTAAGTCATCCATACTGTACATTCCAATTGACTTGTCCTCGGATACAGAGATAAGGGTGTTCTTCTTGGGCTGTGGTAGTATGAAGATTGAGGTGACTGGACCAGTGTGATGAGAGAATGTGTGTAATAAGCGGAATGTGGACAGATCCCAAACCTTGATTGTTGTATCATTGGATGCTGTGAAAAGATGTCGCTTCGTACTACTAGGTGAGCACATCAAACAATTGACGCGTCCAATATGTGATCCTGGATAGAACTTTGTTTGATTGTCCATTGGAAGTTTAGATGTACTTATACTGCCATCGTCTGGATTCGATAGTTAGTTAGTGATCGGGTGAGTGTTGAGTGGACGGACGCGAACATACCGTATCCTCTGATGAGTAACATCATGTCCTCGATGACTAGTGACGCTGTGACTGTTGGCTCGTTAATGTCGGATACTCGCCAGCCATCTGCTATGTTGCCAACCAATGTTGGTGGACATATTGGTGTGCGTCCAGTTGCTTTGCTATCGAGTGGAATGACCCATATACGCACCTGACCAAACACATCAGCAGTCAAGAATATGTTTGCCCAACACATTGCAGCACCAATCTTGTTTGTAATGTTATCCGATGAGTACTCTTGTTGCTTATCAAAGCACATCAATAGTGTTGGTGGTGCAGCTCTGATTGATTGATCGATTGATTAAGTTAGTGATTGAGTGAGTACACTGGACCGTCCGCATGTCAACAACAACATACTCTGATGATAGATGGGATAGTTCCATGTCTTTGTCGAATGTGTAGGAGCTGGCCAAGATGTTGTCTGTTTGTGTTTGAATGATGATTGGTGATGTGCCGTCCAAGGGCATTGGATAGCCCATTGAGAAGGTCTTGAGACATGCATAGGACTGGTCCAGCCTGTAAAGGAATGAGCGTCCATCGCGAGTCCATGCCAATACCAACGTCGAGTCATCAATGAACTTGCCTCCAAACCAACCATGTGATGAAGGGCACTTGATCGACATCAACTTGTGAGTGTTACATGTTGAGAATATCTATGTGATCAAATGATTGAATGAGTGATTGATAGTGAGGGCATGAAGAGCATAGACTTACAGACCAATGCGCCTTGGATATGACGAGGAGTGATTTACCATCCGGCGAGAGCTCGAAGCAGAGAGGTGCCTCGTTGGGGTCGCAGTTGCCTTCGCCACCAGGTGTCAGGATGATCGATTGCAATGAGTAATCATACTCTCCTTCGTTCAGTGACCAGAATCTAATCGTACCGTCCAGACTCCCGCTGAGAAGCAATGGTGTCGCATCCTCAGAGGTAGTGCACGAGTATAAACTTGTGATCCAATCGATATGATCATTGAGTGTGGCCACGATCTGTCGTCAAGTACATGTTGGTTAGGAGGAGGAAAGAGGGATGAGAGGGATAGAGGGATGATCCCATACCTTCAAAGACTGTACATCAACGAGATAGATGCTGTTTGCTCCATTGCCAACAATGGCCACCATTCGCTTGTTGTGTGGCAGTGACACCATACATGAGGGCGAGCAGGGGAGGAATGCTGGCACCGATGCAATCAGACAGTATCCATCACTGATGTTCCATACGCACAATGAGCCGTCTGCGCCTGTGCTGACCACAGCCTCATGGTCCTCAACCTCACACATTGCCAAACATGTGACGGCCACTCCATTATGACCCAATGTAAATATTCGTGGAGTGAACTGCTGTTGTTGAAGTTGTAGTTGTTGCTGTTGCTGTTGAAGTTGTTGTTCAATTGATACTGATGAGATTACAATGTGTCCATTCTGTGAACCTGTGATCACTGTGGACTTGTCTGGAGTGATGAGGATGCTTGTGACGATGTGAGTGGGCGCACCGGCCCAGTACACCAAAGGCAGCACAATGTCTGTTCTTGTAGTCGATGCATTCATAACATTGGATACACATAAAGGTGGTGTTGAAGTCCTACTTATCGATTGTTGCATCGACATCTTGACACTTGCGCTAGTTGTTGTTGTTGTTGTTGAGTTGTTGTTGTTCTCAACAGTGTCAATAACAACCATTGGTATACATGTTGGTTGTTGTTGTTGTTTACTACTATTGTTGTTGTTGTTGACGATACTCTCTATTATGTTTGGTATTGGTGATGAAGCAACTGCTGGCTGAGCAGTTGGTGCTAGGTAAATGGTATGATGATTACCATCTCCGTTCATTCTTCTCTGTAACTATTGCACAAACTACTACAATACTATATACAACCTATTATACAACAACAAACAAACAACCTACAACTACAACTAGATTGATGAATGTAGAAGTAGAGCGAAGAAGAAGTGTGAATGATGAGACTGGTGCATGAATAAAGATCAAAGGGGCAGGGTGGAAATTTGGTTCCAGGGTCTCGACCACCCCTGGTTCATCCCACCTCGTGCATGTTCAAGCCAGGGCTTGGGAGCTACCTTCCAGGCCAAGTAAATAATATATGTTTAAGTAAACTTATAAATATCAATCAATCAATCATGTGATATCTTGAAATGACCCATCGATGCAATCCCGACATGATCATCACCTTTAATATTAATTGATAGATATCCTGGTTGAATGATTGATTGATTGATGATCATTTAATGAAAGATAGGTTAACAACCAATTGATATTGATGATATATCAATGTCTGTCGAGATAGAGTATAACATACAACTACAATCAGTTGTGATTGTGTGAAAGAGATGAATGGAAACAAAGAAAATGGTGAAGTCGACAAAGTTGATGAAGTTTTGAAATGAACTTGCATTCTTTCATTCACAACTACCTTGTACATATACACATACATACATACTCTTATATATAAAAATGTCACATTACTCAGGCGGTGGAGGAGGCGGAGGAGGTGATAGAGGCGATCGAGGTGATAGAGGCGACAGAGGAGGTGATAGACATCATGGCGGTGAAAGAGGTGGAGGCGGAGGCGATAGAGGCGGTGGCGGTGACAGACATCATCATCATCGTTACAACAACTATCAAGCATCAAAGATGGTTTACGATGGCAAGCGAATGAGAAAGGCTGTAGTTAGAAAGACTGTTGACTTCAACTCCACACTCATCAAGTATCATCTCTCAAGAATATATCAACGCGACTACAGAGACTTTAACGGTGTGCAGCCTGACCCTATATATATCAAAGAGGTATGGTTATCGCGAAGAAGATAGCATCGACATCGACATCATCATTGATTGACTCACACGACTTGACTACATTAGATCCTTCCTCCAGTCGCGCTAGACTCCAATCCAACAACAAGTTTATGTACAAGATTCATTCATACATCGACAAACAAAGTTAGATATCCAATCAATGCTGTAACTGTATGTTAGACGACTTCATCATGTGACACAATCAATCAATCACTCACTCACTTACTCACTCAATCAATCAAACACTGGAACTATTCCAATCAATCACTCAATCAATCAACTTCATTCGAATGAATAGTGGACACCAGAGGGAAGACGTTTGATTACGGGATCATCGAGTGGAGAGTTCACATTGTGGAATGGATTGACGTTCAACTTTGAGACTATCATGCAGGCACATGACAAGGCAGTGCGTGCAATCACATGGTCACATAATGAGAACTGGATGATATCGGGCGATGACGCGGGATTGGTCAAGTACTGGCAGCCAAACATGAACAACGTCAAGGTGTTCCAGGCACACAACGAATCACTGCGCGACCTGACGTTCGCGCCAACCGACCTCAAGTTCGCGTCGTGTAGTGACGACGCCTACATCAAGATCTGGGACTTTGCGCGATGCACTGAAGAGCGAGCGATCAAGGGTCACGGCTGGGACATCAAGTGCGTGGCATGGCATCCTCAAAAGTCGGTGATCGCGTCCGGTTCCAAGGACAACCATCTCAAGGTCTGGGACGCGCGAAGCGGCGACCTCATCAGTACGCTCACCGGCCACAAGAACACCATCGTGCAGGTCGAGTGGAACAAGAATGGCAACTGGCTGGTTAGCGCAAGTCGCGATCAGCTGCTCAAGCTCTACGACATTAGGACGATGCGCGAGATGCAGACATTCAAGGGACACGGCAAGGAGGTCACGTCCGTGGCTTGGCATCCATTCCATGAGAACCTGCTAGTGAGCGGTGGCTTTGACGGCTCGATCCTGTACTGGATCGTCGGCCAGGATCAGCACCAGGGCGAGATCTACCAGGCGCACGAGGCCAGCGTCTGGTCGCTAAGCGTGGCATCCAATCGGACACATCTTGGCCAGTGGCTCCAACGACTACACTACAAAGTTCTGGTGTAGGAATCGACCAGGCGACACAATGAAGGACAGATACAACAATCCACACGGCGGATCGAATGACGCCGAGAACGAAGAGGACGTTGATGTCCGTTCAGAGTTCAGTTTGCCAGGCCTATCCATTCCTGGCCTATCACATACATCAGAGAGCAATGGTGGTGGCGGCGGCAACTCAAATGCCCAATCCATATCAACAACAACAACCATTTAGACCACCTCAACCTCAACAACATCATCAACAACCAAACCCATACCAACAACAACAACCACCAGCATATCAACAACCGAATCAACCATTCCAACACAAACCTCCGCCTCAATATCAATCCCAATCACCTCCCAATAACATGGGCCCTGCTGGCGGATACCCTCCCAACCAAGGATACCCCCATCAGCCTCCAATGCAGCCAATGCAGCATGCAATCCCTCCAATACCATCTCCTGTCCAGATGCATCAACAACAACAACACGCAATGCAATTCCAGAATATGCAGCAACAGCAGCACTCACCACCGATGAATGCACAACAGGCACCATTCCAGGGACAGCCCTTCCACCCGCCACAACAATTCCAACAGCAACAAATGCAGCCGCCAGTTGGTGGTCATATCATATCACCGCCTCCCAGTCACATTGTGCAGCCACCTCCAGCCTTTGGCAAGCAAGCTCGCAAATAAACCAACCCTGTCCAAGGGTGTTAGACTAGTAACCTCAAGTATTCAATCAATCAATCATTCAATCATTCTCAATTAATTAATAAAGTGTCAATCGACCATGATACCGCGGGTAGGGTTTATTAGGGTTAATGGATGGAAGGATGGACCATGCATCCGATCGTTCCTCTTTCTATACAATCATCTCTCTGAGTGTTGGACATGGCGCATGTTGTTGAAGTTATGAATGAATCAAGTTGGTACATCGATGGAGTGAAGTAATCATTCAATCCATTTACTTCTTGGGAGCGACACCAGACTCGACTTTCTCCTCGTCCTTCTCCTTCTCGACCTCATCGACCAGCTTCTCGACGTCGGCCTCGTCCATCTGCTGGATGGGCTGATTCCTCCTGATGACGACGATTTCGATATTCTTGTTTCCAGACTCGACGACCTCCAGCAGCGCTTTGACTGCCAGCTTGATCGACTCGTGATCAGAGGTGTCTGTATAGTTCTTCTCGAGGAACTCGCTCACTGTCTTTGAGTTCCTGCCAATGGCGGCAGCCTTCCACGAGGAGAACGAACCAGATGGGTCAGTCTGGAACAAGTTTGGTGTTCCATCAGAGTCAAAGCCAACGATCAAAGTAGATATACCAAATGGTCTAACTCCTCCACTCTGTGTGTATCTCTATATATATATTATATGTATGATTATGTTTGTGTGAGTGATCAATCAATCATATTACTATTACTACTCATTCATTCATTCATGATCATACCTGTTGGATTCCTGCGATATATTTAGAGATGTACTCAACTGATGGAGTATCATCCAAAGACAGTCTGTATGATTGACATTCGATCAATGCCTTTTTGAAGATGATGATGATGATGATGTATGAGTATGAGATAATAACATGTTAGTGATCATTCAATCAATCAGTCAATCAATCAATGATAATGATTACTTTACCTTGTTGATTAGAACACGAGAGTCAGCTGTCAGACCAGCAAATGTTAGACAGATATGATCGTCAATCTTTACAATCTTCTTGGCTGAACGTGAGTCTTGGAGCTTGGCAGTGGACTTCTTCTCAGCACCCAATACAATGACATCCTTTCCACGTACACCAACGGCGACCGTTCCCTTTCTCACGGCCTCCATAGCGTACTCTACTTGGAATAAATGTCCATCTGGTGAGAACACTGTAATAGCTCTATCGTATCTTGCTGATGACATATCTTTATGTAATTATATATATATTAAGTTATATGTATGTATATGTAAAAGTATAAGTATGTTTATGTTTATGTTAATATATGTTTGTGTGAGTGTGTAAGTGATGATGAAGTTGATTTGAGTTGATGTTCACTATTCACTTCTTTTCAAACTTCACTACACACCTTGATAATAAAATTAAATTGAAGTGATGAGAAGTTCAAGTCTGTTTTGAACTATCTTTAATGGTCTTTTGAGGCCATGATTGGCTAATTTCAATCACTACTCCAACCATCCATTTGGATGGACATGTCAATCAACTCATAACAATGTTTACTCAAATATTGATTGAGTTCAGAACCGAACTTCCAAATGAGGCAAATCCCTTTTGCAAAGGTGGCACCAGGTAACTGTCAATTCAATATCACAACCGATCAATTGATAACATACCTCCACTACTTATATAATCATTCAAATCAAATACTAAGTTCAATCATTCATTCAATCAATTCAAGAATAAGTGAGTGATAATTGTTTCCACTTTGGAAACAAACAAACAAAATAATGTTGCTGGCGACTTCAAGCGATTTCAACAACAACAAAAATATTAGTATTCATTCAGTGTTCCACAATCAAGTATTATGTAGATTGATCTTTAGACATGTTAGTGATATTCACAAACGATGGATAAATCTGCCCAGGCCAGACATCACTCAACCACCTGGCGATGACCATCAAGTGTACAAAACAATCAAAGGTGGCAAACTGTATGCCGATGGTGACCTCAGCGTCATGCTCCAATACAACGCCACAGCAATGTTCTTGGAGGCATTCGATAGAGTGGCCGACCACTACCCCATCAACAATGTACTGCTGTACGGGTCCATGGTATTTGAAAACGCTGCGTTATTCAAGAGACTGGCGGCCCATCCCAACATGGTCATGTGGGCAGAGGATGGATCAGGACTTTTAGACACGGGTAATGTCGAGATGCTCCAACACTACCTCTCTGCTACCCTGCACCACCGTTTGCCAGATCTCATGAGGCGACCGGGTTCGGTTCGAGAATTTCGTCCGACTGCTACTCAAATATATCCCGCTGAACACCGCATTTATGAATGAGATCTCGTTCTCGTCATCCTGCCTGAGAAGACATGGCATCAGTCTTGGTGTGCTCAAGTTGTTGCACGAGGAGTACGACAGTCTCTACCCGTTGGGGTCGCTGTTTTGCAACACAATGGTGCATTGTGCACGATGCAATCTTGTGGACAGCTTCCAGTATATAGTCGACAACATCCCAGAAAACAATAGACCTTCTTTATTCGACAGGTCCGTCAGTGATAGCTTGAAGTTCTGTGCCAGCAACGGCAACATCGCCATCTTTGACATCCTCTACAACTCACCAAACACTAAAGAGTACGTCACGGAGAAAGACCTCAACATTGCAATACGCAAGGCAGCCAAACATGGACATCCGACAATGATCAACCATCTCTTCAAGTATCTCGCCTCTGAATCATCATCATCATCGGGTCGCCAACCACGCTGGAGGAGAGACCGAATTGAGAAACCTCCCATGGGCATATCGATCGCATTGATGTGCTCCATTCAAAGATGTGCGTGAAGATGTCCACGTCAATGGCGCAGCTCATCACTACATATCGATCGCCACGTCTTACTCTCAAGGGCAAGTCACTCCTCCACATGGTCAAGGCCATTGGCAAGCCAGGCAGCAACATCACCCCAGATATAGTGTGCCAACTCATCGACAACTGCGACCTACCAGAGCCAGATAAGCTCGACAGGACGTTTGAGTTGGCCACAGAGACCTCCCTGGGCTTGATGCAGAGAATCCACACTCATTTCAATCTTCCCTACATGGACTGGAGTCTGACCAAGGCGGTACAGAGTGGACACGTGGACATTGCCCTCCATCTGGCCAGCCAACAAACTGATGAAGCGGTTGCTACTAAAGCAGCACTCAAACTGATCGCTTGGCATCCAATCACAATGGACAACCTGACATTGATACTGGACACACTCCCATTCGTCAAGAGCAACCCAGAGATATGTGCATGGGCAGTGTGCAACCCATCGTTTGAGGTGTTCAAACACATTATCTCATTGTTCACCAACGAGCAGTTGGAGGGGACCGATCATCTTCAGGACATATTCTATCAAGCATTGATTGAGAACAACTCTAGGTACCTGGAATACATCCAACAACGCTTTGCCAATACAGAGGTGGAGGTGCCTGAGCTTGATGCCCAATCACTGATGAACCATATCAACAATAATCATTACCTCTTTATTGAGAAGCATCTCGACTCACCTTCGTTCACTGACTTGCCGACAGTAAATCAATTGCGAACACTTCATGCAATGATTGACTATGCCTATCAGATGGTTACCACTCGCATCATCAAACTCTGCAAAGACCGCATCAACAAACTTGATGGAACCTATGTGTATGCATCACTCAATCAATATATCATTCACTCCATCACTCTGACTTACTCACTCACTCAATCACTCATTTAGAAGGCAACAAGATGATCACGATCAGGAGATGGACATTGATCAACCCAAGGCCTCACTCAAGTTGGAATCAACACTTCACATGGTGATGAGAGATGAGAAGCTCGGCAAGATGATCATGTCACAGATTGGATCGATTCATAACAAACATGGCATTGATCGTAAGCAGGTGATCACTGGCAAGCAGTTGCTTTACAATCACAACCTGCGTGAGTACATCAAATATGGCGCAACGGAATGGTTCCTTCAATCATACAATGATAATGGCAACAAGCTACGTCTCAACAAGACTTTACTTCTTGAAGCCTTTGCCAGATGTGATACACGTGCTATGAACGTGCTTCTGGCCAATCCCCTCATGTGTCTAAACGGCAGTTTCGACAAGCACTTTGTGACCAACGTGTCGTCCTGCTCGCATCCACATTGGGAGAGTGTGTTGGAGAGGTATGTCCTGACTCTCGACTCTCTTCAACCAGCTGGCATCACCATCAGCGGCAACGTGCTGGCACATGTCCGCCACCCATCATTCCTCCGCAAGCTCATTGAGATGGACATCCAACTCAGCCTTGTGGATGACGACGGCGATCGAAACAAATCGAGATGGGGCGATAAGACATTGAAGAGTAGTTTCACAGAGATCATGGTCGATGCATCGCTCAAGCAATCATGGGCGGTCGAGATGCTACAACTGATGCTCAAGAACAAGCTCCTCACGACCAGGACTGGCAAAGTACTCCTTCTCAAGGCCATCGAGCTCAACATAACACCAGTCGTTGAGATCCTGGTCAGCCAATCACCTGGCGATGGCGATGATGGCAATGAGGGCGATAATGGTGATAGTGAGGATGCTGCAGATCAACATAGCAGATACTATATCAAGTCACTCATTAAGTTATGTTGCCAGCATGGCAACGTCGAATCGTTAAACTTGGTAATGGCACATGTCCCTTCGCCACATCTCGATGAGGCCATGAGGTCATTGACGTATCATTGTAGTGAAGCAGTGTCCAAGGACATTTCAACATTCTGCTTCGTGCACAAGAGTTGCTGGGCGACACATTCAAACCTTGGGGGTATATTGAGGATGCATTGAGAGCTGGCCACTTGGACATTCTCAACTACATCCTCAGCTCTCCACTCCCAGCAAAGTCATCAACCCAAGATACGGGCAATCATTCGTTCCGCCGTGATCGAGATGAGATATGCATCTCCAGCATCCACCACAGTATCTTGTCAATCGAGTTGATTGAACTCTTGCTTGCACTACGACCAACCGTCAATGGCCGGTACAATCAGGTGATGGCCAGCGCAATCAGAGCTGGAAACAATTTGCTCATCGAAATGATTGAGCGCAACGATGGCCAGGTGTACAACACCAACTATACAGCAGCATTGGCGACAGCACTGGATATTGGTGATATTGACATGGCCAAGAATATCATCACCAATCATCCGCCGAACCCTCATATGGAGAGATGTGGCACTGTGGAGTCAGTGGGAGCAGGATGGAAGAGGCCGGAAGAAAGGATAAACTGACTCCCAGCATCGGCCTCTTCTGTCCATTGATCGAGCAATTGGGTATGCCCAACAGCGACGTTACCGAGAGCACATTCATCGAGTTGGCCAATATGCTGACAAAACATGGTAATGGAAACTTGCAAATGAGAGAGACCTCGTCAAGGCATTGAAGATAGCTGCCTCCAAGTCAGTGGACACCATCAAGTTAGTGCTATCCCACCTCACAGACTATGATACCAAGCCAAAGAACTTACATTATACGCTAAGAAGTGAGGTCATCTCGGATTTGATTGAAGAGTGCATCAAATATAATGGCACTGAATCGATTGAGTATATAATCCATATGGCGGCCAAGGTATCATCTGACAAAGTTGGTAACGAACGTGTCCTCACAGCACTGGACGTCATCCCATTGAAGATCACCAACATACATGTGCTCACATTCCTCATTGACAAGCAATACTACAAGTTGGATGGTGATCACTATCATACATTGTCCAAACTGGTTGATTGGGCATGTGAACAAGGACACCTGGACGTTATTCGTCTCGTTCACCAACGATGCACAACAAGCGAGCAACTTCAAAGACATCTGCCATCCTTGTCCTCGATACACAAGGCATTGGACAACAACCAGTATCAATGGTACACTATCTACTTGAAGGTGATTCATCACCATTCAATCAAGCAAAGATCGATCCACAATACCTAATTCCCATACTCAATAGTATTCGTTACTATGCCTCTGACAATGGAAGTATTGGCATCATTAACATATGTGATACTATCATTACATCACTTTCCAAGTCAACAGTTTGTTTACAATAAACCCTTACCCTACCCTTACCCTCGCCCTTACCCTCACCCTTGCCCTTGCCCTTGATCTCAAAGTTCATTCCGCAAGACACAGGTGATGCCAGCTGGCTTGGATCTCACACCTTTTTTGATTTTTGTTGAAGTCAGACAAGTCCAACAAGTCTTCATTCATTCATTAATCACACAATTCATTGTTATATTAATATATTTATATATAAAGATAACAGAAGAGAAGAGAAGAAGAGAAGAGAAGAGGAGTAGTCATGTCATATAATAATAATAAGAATATGAATGATGGTAATCCGTTTTATACGGAGGAACTTCCTATAACGACACATGATAATAATATACATCAACCGATGAATCAGCCACAGCAGCAACATCAGCCACAGAACATGTATACCAGTCAACCACAAGCTATATTCACAAATACCAATGTAAACTTTGATGACTTCTCTAGCGCACCTCCACAACAATCAACAACCTATCAACCAGATCTTCAATTCCAGAGTATGTTCATTCGTCGTCCCTTGTGAGTGGCCACTCAACATTCGCTAACAATCAATCAAACAATCAAACAATGTATGACAACATAATAGGCTTCGATCATTCATCGATAGATATCAATCCATCGACATCATCATCATCATCAACTTCAAACAAGGATAGGATTGGAGGTGGAGGTGTACCTCAAGGCGACTTCTCACACGAGCCTTTGAACAACGAGGCGACAGGTGAAGAGAAGAAATATGGATTCTATCAGCCACAATACTACAGATTCCTGTTCAATGTCGATACTGTCGAGGTCGGTCATCGTATCCTACGCTCGATGCTCCCAATCAAGTTCTCCTTTTTTGAGATGGTACGTGAGAACCCTGACATGTACGGACCATGGTGGATCACAATCACCCTTGTACTCTTTATCGCTGTGACTGCCAACCTCAATGAATACTTCCACACCAATCACAAGAGTATGATTCTATATGACATGTGACCAGCTTGGACGCGCCAGCACTAACATGTTCACTCACTCAATCAATCAATCAATCAATCAATCATGGAACCATCCCACATTCAAACACTCAATCAATCAATCAATCAATCAATCATATAATAGCATGGGAAGTCGACTTCCATAGATTGGTTTACAGTGCTATCTCCATCATTGGATATGCACTCATTATTCCATTGATACTCTGGGGAGTGTTCAAGTGGATGAAGCTGGGCGTTCGTCTGTTGGAGATGATGTGTATCTATGGCTACTCACTGTTCATTTTCATTCCAGCATCGATCCTCTGCATCATTCCAATTGGCATTGTGCAATGGATTGTCATTGGAGTGAGCGCCGTCGTCTCTGGCGCATTCCTCGTGACCAACATCTTCACACCGCTCAAGGGCGATGCCACCAAGCGAGCACTAATCATCTGTGCCGTGGTCGCTGCCTTGCACCTTGGTCTTGCCCTGCTGCTCAAACTGTACTTCTTTGCCAACAACACCTCTGGCAAGTTTGTCGACGACTCATCTCACTCATCCTCGTCGCACGCCTCCACATCCACCACCGGCTCGACCACCGGAACAACCTCCGACACATCAACTACCACCAACTAAATGAAGGAAAGCGGGCGGTCATGATGATCGCGATGCAATAAAGATCAGCTCAAGTTGACATACATAACAAGAATGCGAAGAGAGAAGATGAATGAATCTTAGGTATACTTGTATGTTTACTTTACTACTACTGTTTAGGCAGTCTGGTCGAAGTTGCCAACTAGCTCTGGGACATCATCAGAGTCCTGCTGGACAGCACCCTTGCCTTGCATCTGAGCGGCAATCTTGGTGAGGTTGGAGAGGTACTCAGCACCCATATGCTGGAGGATACCTGGGAGGAGCTCCTGGATTTCTGTTTATCATTAATCCAAATGATTGATTGATCGATTGATTGAGTGAGTGAGTGTTAGTTGATGTTGCCACTGTATCCTGTGTCATATCCTATCCAGTGTACGTACGCTTGTGCTGAGCGGTACCAGAGACGACAAAGGTCTTTTGGGCAGTCATGACGCTTGGGTTGTCAAAGTGGATGATGGTGCCGTCGGCCTTGAAGAGGTTGACCTCATCGATGCCAGGGGTTGGTCTGATTCCAAGGGACTGGAACTTAGCCTGGAGCTGTCTGCTGTCGTTACCAGTGTTGTTGTGAACGACTCTCTTCTTTCTGCGGACTGAGCCTGGACCACCAGTTCTGACCTGGGCAGCCAATTTGTTCAACTTCTCAATGTTAACCTCCATTATATCTAATTGAATGATATACGTATATAAGTATGTTGTTCATTTGTTCATTCGTATCAATATTGTATCCACGATCATCTCTCTTCTCTCTCTTTTCTCTTCTCTTCAACATCCTTGTCAAAGTAACAGCATTGCGACTGTTTTTCATTCATTCGTTCATAGGTTCTGTATTGTGATCATCATGTTCGCTTCCTGTTATTCGAATGTCTATATTGTATAATCATGAAGGTCTCCAAGTTGTTATGACAAAGTCATAGTGTTGTCGGCTTGGTCTCTGGTCTCTTGTCTTGACGCACTGAATCGCAATGAATGTTGTTTGTCGTTGATCGCGAGCGAGATAGTCGTGGTATACAATATATATAATATTCTCTTCTACCTACCTGTTGTCTGTGTCTGGAAACAAAAGGACTATGAATGTTGTCGCTCGTTCAATTGTAGACACTCCCCTCTCATTACGACCTCGCCTTCTGTCAGCCAATTCAGAAACAAAAAAAATGAAATTGGGTTTAATGGAACTTCTGCTTTTGGCGAACTTCTGTTCTGTTGGGAGAGTCAAGGACTTGTGTTTGTCCTTGGTCCAGGACAGACTGGCAATTGGCCAACCCGAGTCTGGTATATGGTAATGGTAACTACCAACACGCAACGTTGAGGTGAGTTGTTGCAGTCCTCAAGCAACACATCACATTGTCATTCATGTCCAAGGATAGGTCATGTGTCACTGTGTGCCCATCCATGGAGAGAGAATGGATGTCAATACCAATATTGGAACTTGTTGATATCAATCCAAAAGATTGATTGATTGATTGATTGATCAATGATCACTTTGATGTGGATGAACTTGTTGATGTTGTTGAGGTAGTGGTGCCACTGCCACCAAACAGACTTGTGGAGAAAGGTGATCCTGATCCAACTGATGAAGAATGTTTGAGAAGTGATGGATCCAGTCTTGATCGTTTGAGTAATATGTCCTTTCTCTTATCGTTTGTCAATGTCGATGTTGATTTCGACGATGATGATGTGGATAACTTTGAAGACGATGACGAAGATGAGGACAAGGATGATGAAGATGACTGTTTGAAAATTGATGAAGTCCTAACATCCTCATTCTTCATCGATTGGAGTTGATCGGCTTTCCTCTTGGTAGCACCGTAGAAGCTAGTCTTTGATGCCTCGACAATATCTTCATGGGAGGTTGGCAAGAGATCGATGGTGATGCCTCGGTCCTCACGTTCCTTCTTCTCCAGAGCGTCCTTCTTCTTGTCCTCTCTAAATCCCTTCCTTAACAATGATGACAATTGATAATCATCCTTTGATCTACTATTTGTCACCTTGTATAAATCGGACAACATTGATGTCATCTGCTTGCCTTGTTCCGCGTCCTTCTTCCTCTCTTGCAATCTAAATATTGGATCAGTCTTTAGCAACTCCTTCTCCTCAGCGGACCTCACACGTATGACCGCTCCATCATCTTCCTCTTCCTCGCCAGCCTCCTCTCTTCTCCTAAGTCCAGAGACAATCTTGAAGTCAGTATGCTAATCGTTGTGACATGGGAATGGTGTCAGTCTCATATCACATCACTTCCATCACTCAATCAATCATAGTAGTACTTACCTCTGGATCAGTATGTATCTCAAAGCGATTGTCGCAAAGATGACACTTCATGCGAAAGGAGTGGATGGTTGAGGAGAGGTATTTGCCAACGGACTTCTTCTCGGCGTTGTAGCGTACGCCTCGTCCGATGTGATTGTCACACTTTAGACACCAGGCACCTCCTGGGAATGGCATCTCGAATCGCACCACCAATATACCTTGATCAATCTTTCTTGCTCTCTGTCCCAATGGATGCTTCCCAACAAACTTATTAACTGAACCCTTCTTTGGGTCCCAATCTGGTGGGTAATACTTATTAGTTGCTTGAGACATTATATATTATCATATAGTAGTAGTTGTAGTTGTAGTTGTAGTATGTATGTACATTTATGTTTGTTGTTTAGTTGAGTTGAATGAATGAATGGGTGAATTAATGAGAATGAATGTTTGGAGAAACAATTGATTAATAAACTATCATCAATCAATGAGATACATATAAAAATACATATATATATATATATATAAAGAACAACACTTTGGCTAACTTATTATACTCTACCCTAACCCTTGCCCTTACCCTTGCCCTAACCCTTGCCCTTGCCCTTGCCTACAACTAATTTCATGATACCCCCTTTAGTTTACAATGTTTGGGTCAATGACTCAGTTATTCATCACTTTCTTTATCACTTGACAACAAATAATTAGTATATAATATATATATATATATATATATATTCGAGTAGTATAATAGTATTAGTTATAATAAGACATGGGATCAGATGTTCATCAGATAATAGGTACTGTTGTATCAATGGCAGTATTGTTCATAGGAACATACCATCTACTTAGATATATAATGGATAAAGATGTTACAGAGAAGAAGAAATCATATTTCGATGCAATTAAAGATCATCCTGTATGTCAATGTAATGAATGAATGACATGTGATATGAATGACTAACATCAACATCATGTTTGTATGTATGTCGGTTTATAAAGAATAGGGATCAATTAATGAAGATAGACTTTAATGTACATGAGATGGAAGTGATGTGTAACTTGATCGATCCATATACTATATCATCATCATTCAATGATATTGGAGGTCTAGATGAAATCATTCAAGATATAAAGGATACTATATTCCTACCATTGGACAAAGCAGTGCGTACCAACAACAGCACTCTATTCAAACTACCTCGTGGTATCCTATTACATGGTCCACCAGGTACAGGCAAGGTATGACCCTCTCCCAAGACAATGACGATGACGATGTTCAATTACTCACTCACTCAATCAATCAATGTGGAACTTAGACTATGCTGGCCAAGGCCATTGCAAAGGAGGCCAAGTACTTCTTTTTGAACATTAGTGAAGCAGTCATCGAGAGCAAGTTCTATGGTGAGACACCAAAGGTCATTGCAGCAATATTCTCAGTCGCTCAGAAGTTACAACCAATCATTATCTTCTTTGATGAGATCGACTCAATGGTTGGCAATCGTGATCTTTTAACATCAGATCACAACATTACCAAGAGATCAACTCTATTGCAGTATGTTTGTCATTGACGCGATCATTCATGGATCTGGATCACATTGACTCATTCATTCATTCATATTCTCAATCATTAGGATGTGGGATGGTCTGACGACTTCAAACGCTAGGATTGTTATTATTGGAGCAACAAACAGATATGATTCAATCGATGATGCATTCATCCGTAGACTACCAAAGAGGATCAAAGTAGGCCTGCCAAACGAGGCAGCAAGAGAGAGAATATTGCGTATTGTATGTGTCATTCATTCATTCAGTCATTCGCGATTATCCAATCAATCAATCATCAGAGACTAATATATAACCTTGACCGATGATCCTAGATGTTGCGCAATCACCATGATGAAGATGTAGACTTTAAACAGCTGGCGCAGAAGACTGCTGGACTGTCTGGATCAGACCTTGGAGAGATCACAAGGGATGCTTCCAATGGTATGCATACATACACACTACCTCCTCCTTCGTTAACTCGTCCAACCTTGACTAACAACCATTACATGTATAGTTGCGCTAAAGAGGAGGATTAATGATGATGCCAATGGAAACAGTACTCGCTCTATCGACCATATACTCAACAGTGATCACATTGACGATAAGATTAAGATATCGATGGCTGATATCAACTCAATACTTGGCAAACATCTTAAGAATTTAACGCGTCAATAAGTAATACATGTCATTTATCTGTTTCCAATACTATCTGGATGGTCCATCAATCAATACCATCAATCCAAAATGCAAATGATCAGATCAATAGAGTGAATGAATGAGTGAGTGAGTCACGTGATTGATGGTCCATTGTTGTATCTGTGCAAGGAAGGAAGAAACAGATAGATAGATAGATACGGATGATGATCATGGCTATCAATTTAAATTACACCCGATGATGCTGCAGATGTGGATGCATAGGTGCCCGCCCCTCTGAAGGACCATCAACCAACCCGACAACGGGACGAATTGGAATCACAAGAATGCGATAATTGTAGGTTTTTTTGGATTTGGGTGGCTTGTTGGGGGGTCGCAAGGTCCACGAAAGAAGTATCGCGCGTCAACTTCTGTGAGAGGGATACCTCCTTGGACATTTCAATCCCTACACGATTGACTTTGTATGTCGGCATTACAAGCTTCCACTTACTTTTTTGTTATTATTTTGAATTAATTTGATTTCTTTATTTGGATTTGATGGATAGATTGAAGAATCCATGAGTGACTGTGTGTGTGATTGACTGATTGAGTGGCATGCGCAAGGATTGGCTAGCCAATCCTAGGACCAACGCAAAGACTGACCATTCATTCATTTCAATTCAACTTATTATAACTTATTATTATAACAATATATACATACATACAATCACACACAATGAGATTCTTCTCCACTGTCTTGATTGCCCTCGCAATCATCGCCGCTGTCAGCGCTTATGACTTCAACGCCAAGATTTTGAACGACCGCTTCATCCAGAGCCACAACGCCAAGGGTGCCTCATGGGTTGCCGGCCGTAACGCAAGATTCGAGAGCGCCACCATCGGTGACGTCGTCTCCTTGCTCGGAACCAAGAAGCCAAGAAACACTCCAGAGGGACCAGCCGTCGTTGCTGACATCCCAGCCGCCTTTGACGCCCGTACCAACTGGCCAGGTTGCATCCACGCCGTCCTCAACCAGGGCCAGTGTGGTTCATGCTGGGCTTTCGGTGCCTCCGAGTCCCTTTCCGACCGTTTCTGCATTGCCTCCAAGGGCGCCATCAACGTCACCCTCTCCCCACAGGCTCTCGTCTCCTGTGACACCGTCCTCAACCAGGGCTGCAACGGAGGTATCCCCCAGGCTGCTTGGGAGTACATGGAGGCCAAGGGTCTGCCAACCTACGACTGTTTCCCATACACCTCTGGCGCCAACGGCACCGAGCCACCCTGCCAGAAGACCTGTTCTGACGGCTCCACCTACACCCTCTACAAGGCCAAGACCCTCACCCTCCAGACCATGAACTCCGTCTCTGCCATCCAGGCCAACCTTGTTGCCTACGGCTCGATCGAGGGATCCATGGACGTCTACGACGACTTCATGACCTACACCTCCGGTGTCTACGTCCAGTCCCCAACCGCCAAGTACCTTGGAGGTCACGCCATCAAGATCATTGGATGGGGTCACGACGACGCCTCCAACCTCGACTACTGGATTGTCCAGAACTCCTGGGGAACCGACTGGGGTATGGATGGTTTCTTCTGGATTGAGCGTGGTGTCAACATGTGTGGTATCGACCGTGATTCATCAGCTGCCCAAGCCAACGTTTAAAATAAACACTTAAACGTAGTATTATTATTAGTGTACATCATCATCAAGTCTGTCTAATCACACTTTTGTCTTGTTTTGGCTTTAGATATCCTGGTACTGGGATCATCCCCAAAGATTGATGTATGCTCCACTGGATCTCCGCTCCCAGCCTCGCCCCCCACCTTACTCATTCATTGGGGGCCAGGTGGAGATACTTGTTGTAGTTGGCAATTGTCGTGTTGGACCAACTTTGGGCATAAACATAAACATAAACAAAGTGATTAGATGAATGATGATGATCACTTGTTCGATCAGAAAGTTGAGGGCGAAGTGCACAGAGTGGGCGCCATCCATTGTCACCAATCTTCTGTGAACCATTTTCCAAACTATCAGTTCGTCAGATCAGCTGATCATGCGTCGCAAGTGCACTTGTGTGCGTGCGTTGTGTGGGTGTCCTTTAACGCGGCGAGGCCTGTCCACTCGCCTATTTGATGGCATAATGGGAAGGACACCGTATTGATTGCACGCAGGATGCCACACCAGGTGCTTGTGTGCCTGACTGACTGACTGATGTGAATCATCTGATCGATCCTACAGCTGATGAATGAATGCGACAGAGAGAGAGTCCACTCGTTTATAGATACTTTTGTGCGGACTCGGAAGATGATGATGTGACCGCATGAGGTTGATATCAATCGGTCAACAGGTTAGTTGTAAGGACCTCCAAGTTGCAGGTCTCTCTCTCTCTCTTTCTCTCTTTCAATTAAACGCCTATCCTCACATCATATCACTTCACTTCACTTCATTATTACTATGATTATAATCATTCACTGAAGCATCCATCAACAACAACTTCAACAACAACAACAGTGACAGACATCAATCAATCAATCGATCAATCAATCAGTCAGCCAGTTGTAGTAGTGTGTACACATCAAGTTGCGTATACCTACAATCAATCAAGTCAAGTCAAGTCAAGTCAAGTCAAGTCAAGTCTTGTACCAACAACAACAAACTTTGTAACATTATTAAAGTTCATTCACAGGTAAGATAAGATCCAAACATAATAAGATCGCGCTATCATATGTCATTGTCTTGCTTGTTATCCACTTGTTATATATCCAGATAACTTCTACTAGTTCCCTTCACTTCACAATCCAATCCAATCCAATTCAATCCAATCCAGATGGATGAATGGTCCATTCAATCCAATATATATTGCCCTATTGTATAACATACAAGCGTATTTGTATCACCACTACACATAATAGTCTGCTAGCAAGATCATGTGCTAGAGCTCATGCATGCATCTGCTCTGTCTGGCTCATTCATTCACTCACTGGCAGCCACACACATCCACCTCGACGCGCACACACACAACAAAGAAGTCGACGATTCCCCCCATCCACCAATGCCCACACATTATTTCAGATAACCGGTTGCATTTATGTTGTGGCAGGTACAGATGAAGGACCTGCCTGCCTGACTGAATGGTCTTGCTGCCTGGTCAAAGGAGGCAACAAAGATGTCGACACCCTACTGCGTCGGGCAACGGCGACTAAGGCGCCGATTATTAATTATGTTGTTGTTATTGTTGACTGACTGTTGTTTGTTTGTTTGTTTGCTTTTTGAACTTTGATTATTATTATGATGATGTGATGATTGATTGATTGATTGATTGATTGGGAGTAGTGAGTGCACTCCCTCAATATATATGATAGGTTAAATTCATTGTGACCATCTATCCAGGCTGTCAGGGCCAATGCCACAGCATCAAATGCCAACACCAAACACCAACACAAACAAACAACATCATCAATAACAACAACAACAACAACAACAATAACTCAAGTGAATGAATGAATGATGATAGGAATTACTACTTTATAGATTGGGATAGATCACAAACACAACAAAGTTGATTGATGGGCGGGAGGGCAGCCTCACCTGTCGTGTACCTCATTCATACTTTCACAGAGTTTGTTACTATTGCTCCTGCGACAGCGACGACGCGGGCAAAAAATGCATTAAGAGATCTATCGAGTATAAATTGTTTGTTGTCCATCCAGTCAGTCAGTCAGTCAGTATATGTTCATATATATATGTTTATAAACATTTGTTTGTTAGTTTGTAAGTTGTTGTAAAATAGTAGTCATTTGGTTGCTCTACTACTTCTACACAACATTGTCCAACAACAACACAACAACATCCATTTCCCGCATTCAAGTAACTTCACCATTCACGCATAACTTTACTTGTTTTGCAAACTGGTTCGCCAAAGACAAAGACACAACACTTGCATCACGTGTATCGCCCATTTTTTTTGTACATCCTCCAATCATATTTACATAGCAGTAGTAGTAGTAGTAGTTGTAGAAGTGGTAGTCGTAGTAGTATCAGCAGTAGCAGTAGTATTAGTTAAGTTAACATTATAGTACCTTTGCCCTACCCCCTCATAGTGAGTCCTCTCTATCTCACTCACTTCTCTCAAGAATAAAGGTTGTTAGGTCAGACGCCTACCTTCCTCTAATTCCTTGTTGAGACAATTCAGTGTCAGCCGATCAGTTCCTACAATCAAACAACCTACCTGTACAGTCAGTCAGTCAGTTCGCTTTGCCCAGTGCCAGAGTCCAGCATCTGATCAGATCAATCCCACAAAACACGAATCCACCCCAATCACACACCCCCACAAAAAGTCAAAGTCAAACAACCAGGCTTTTTATTTGTTCAATCAAGTCCATCAATCATATCCAGATTAGGACTTGAATCAATCATATTATTTATATATCTATATATATATATATTTATATTCATATTCATACATAATTATTATTATATTATAACAACACATTATGATATATTTTAAATTAGAAGGATATTAATTTGGAGCCAATCTATATTTAGTAGTAAGTATTATATATATATTATATTATATTATATTATTATATCAATATATATATTTATTATATCCCGAGTAATATTACACAACCTTCTTTTTTTTTTTTTTCCACCAACCAACCATCAATCCAACAACAACAATACCATAATAATAATATTCCGTCCAACTACAACAACAACCACAACAACACAACAACAAAATGTCAGCAACGTTTGTCAAGTCCCACTTAGTTCTCAACAACAGTGACAACAAAGAAAACATTGAGCCTTCCACTGGCCTATACACACCAATTCATTCCACCTTCAATCCTGGTTCAAAGTCATCATCATCATCAATGAAGAAGAGAGTACCTTTGAAGGACATCACACCACAAAAGGGCTCATTGTCACCAAAGAAGATCAGACCATCGACAATGACCACAACAACAACATTGACCACAACAACAACAACATCCAAACGGTCAACATCTGGTGCTCCCATTCCATTCTCAATATTCTCAGTTGTGACTGCCACCAACAACAACAAAGCAAATGGTAGTGGTGTCGCCTCTATCAAGTCAATCAGATAGGTCCACCTGGAATGGAATGGACTGGGCTGGACTGGACTGCCAGGGAATTGGAAAACATGGAAATGGAGTCGGAGATTGATTGATCATATCTTTTAGTATAAATAATCCATGATTGATTGATTGATCACAAACTTTAAAGTCTGGATTGTTGTGGGGCACCTTGTGCCAGAAGTACTGGATTGAGGATGAACTCATTCATACCGACATCGGCAGTGTTGAGTGGATTGTTGGCGACAAAATGATTGATTGCCTCGTAGACTTGGCCGTCGTACCGTCCAAGTGCACTGCCCAATGTGTGATCGGCATAGTTGAATGTGTCCACCAGTCCAATGACATCGGGACGCAGCTCCTTGAGCAGACGACGCACCTCTGCCGACACCAGCTCGACCTGCTCCGGGGTGAAGTAGCCATCGACGAGTACATCAGCTGCAAGCTTCTCGATGTTGACCAGTGCGTAGAGCTGACACAGACGGATCAAAACGGGTCTTGCGTCAAGGGGAGCGGTGGTCAGACAACTGGCGAAGCAGTGGACGATGTAAAGCTGGCAGTGGGCGTCGCTCACCTTGACCGCGTCGATGTTGTACTCGGACCATACCTCGCCAAGTGGGCGCGTCTCCAAGCCAGCCTGGATAAGACCTGCCAGACGCGCGAGTTGGGCGTAGGCGCGATGTCCAAGAACGTGCTCAAGCACGTCCAGATCGGTGAGCTTGCGCTTGCCACCATCCAAGAGTTGTGTGAGTGTCTTGGGTGACGCGTCGTCAGCCTCGCGAACAATATACTGCACAGACTCGGCAAGCTGTTTCTTGCCATTGATCATCACATCCTTGTAGCGTGCCAACAGGTAGCGAGTGGTCTGTTGGGGCATGAGGTTGTTCTCACCCTCGGCAGTGATGAGATGACTGTAGTTGACCAAAAGACGTGGTAGACCAGACATGATTGAATAGCCGTGACCGCCACATGCCAGCCTGGCATCATCAATGTGCTTGGCTGTGATGTAGGTGACCAGCGACTTGAGACCAGATGTGAGGGCGTGCATCTCTGGCAGCTGCGAGGTGTCGCTACGCGTCATGGCGGCGTACATCACGTTGGAGAACACCTCCTTGAGTCGGCGGCCGACAAAGACCAGAGCGTAGGCCGTTGCTATGCCCGGAATGATTCTCGTCTGCTGGTTGCCATAGTCGAGCACCTGAAGCTCGGGCGTGTTAGGCGCGCCAGAGAACTGTCGGCGCACGGCAGAGTAACGTGCGGCGACGGTGACAGCGCGACCGACAGCCGCGCACGAGTCGCTAATAATGTAGACACGAGTGCTGACCATGCCTGCGTAGACCAGGCGGGGATGCGCGGGTGGCACGTACTTGCCCTCGCGAGTCACATTGAAGAATCGATTGAGCATGTTGGCGCGCGGGATGCGTACCTTGTCCAAGCGCATGAATCCATTGTCCACACAGTTGTAGCCATACTTTGGTCCAATGTCGCCAACCTTGATGCCCTTGAGTGGGGTGTAGTCCTTGGTCGATCGCACCTGCAGCAGGAAGGGGTGCGGGCCGTGGTTGGTGAGCGTGCCATTCTCATTCTTGAGCCACAGTTGGGCAAAGACAACTGTGTGCGTGCAGATCTTGCCGAGCGCACCGACCCACCACTTGGTGGAGGTGAGCGTGGGCGAGTGCAACTCAAACTCATCAGTGTCGGCGTGGTAGTGCGCGGTAGTCTCGAGCGCCTGTACGTTACTGCCGTGGCCCATCTCTGTCTGTGAGTAGGATCCGATCATCTTGTAGTTGAGTGCCTGTGGCAGCCACACCTTGAGCTGGGAGTCAGAGGCGAGTGAGCGCAGACAGGGCACAAACACAACGTCGTGCAGCAATAATGGTGTCTCGCTGTAACACTCACGCAGTATCTCCACGCTTGACGCATCCAACAAGTTAAGTCGCTTCTTCATATCAATGAGACGATGTGTAATATCCATCGTTCGTTTGAACTGCTCCTCACGTGACAAGAAGTTGATGAACTCTGGATTGCCAGACAACACCTGGTCCTTCTCAAACTCTGCTCTGATCGCTCTCTGGATGGGTTCGAGATTGATTGATTATGTGAGTGGGATGGTTCCAGGATGATATTGAGTGAGTGAGGGGTTGGACCAAGATCCATGCCCTTGACACGTGACTTCGATGACATACCTTTAGCTCTAGAACACTTGGATCATTGTTGTGGATGAACTTGTAGAGGGTCTCGATGTTGAAGCTGGTCTTGGCCCTCTCAGCCTTCAAGTCGGGATGTACATTATCCTTGTAATATGTCATTATTTGTTTGGTTAGTATTTATATGTATGTAGGATGAAATGAAATTGAAAGGTTCATTAGATATTAGATCATTTAGCAAAGGGGCTTGTTGTGGGTGAGGCCATCAATCACCTGATTTGGAAGCCCCACAAGATCACCCCACAATCAATCAATCAATCAATGTTCTTGATCTTAAGTGAGACTGGAACGCCAATGGTTTATTACTCATCGTCTTCGTAGTTGTCCTGTCCATTGTCATCGCCATCGCTAAGGTCGTTGTTCATAATGATGGTTGTTGATGGGATGTCCATGATCATGGCCGATGACTCGGACTTTGTCGATGATGTCTTGGACTTGTCGAAATAGCTGTCATTGTTCAATTTCTCCTCGCGATCTTGACGTCGCTGCTCTGGGGTCTTCTTGGCTGGATAGAATACGGAGCGCACATGCATCTCCCACTGCTTCTTGAACTTGTTATACAGCAGCAGACTGGTCAGCGCATCCTCCTCGGCGTTATGGACGCCCTTCTGAATAGTGGCGCCAAGCTTCTCGAGTGCCAGCTGTTTCAGTGACACGCCATGCATCTTGGTAAAGGGTGCCCTGCGCTCGCCATTCAGCTTGGCCTCTGGCGTGATCAGTCGCGATGACTGGAGCGCGGGGAAGTTCAGCGAGTCTCTGATGAGCTGTGGTGGGTGATTGAGTAGCAGCACGGCCAGGTCGGACTTGATGTCGTGTCCGACCAGGATGTGATCTTTGATGATGGAGGCCACCTCCTTCTGGACGGTGAGGAAGGGCGGTGCCTTGTCCAGGTGCTTCTTGGTGAGGCCGGACCAGCGCGTGCGGTAGTCCGTCACGGGGTCCAGTGGCTGCGCGTAACTTTTATAGATTGTGTTGCCGTTGGCGTTGATGATGCATATGCTGCCCAGTACGCCCTTGCTGCCCTTGGGGCCGACGCCAACCATCTCGCAATCCAGTGCCAATACCTTGGTGATTGTTTTGTCGTCTGGGTTACGAATGATCAGATCGAAAACCGACTTCTCGACCAATGGTGCGGTTACTGTTCCTGTTGTTGATGTTGACGTCGAGTCATTCTTCTTTCCGCGATATGATGTTGGCTTCTTTGATGGTACTATTGTTTTCTGTTTGTGTCGCAAGCGAGTTAGATTACTTCGCTCACTCATTCGACCAATCAATCGATCATTCTATCAACTTACACTTAGTGATTGCCAATTTGAACTGATGGTTGATGGATCAATTGACATTATTGGTGATTGTGATGATGTGGTGGATGTTGTTGATGTTGTTGTTGTTGATGTCTCTGGTTCTGATCGTACAACTCTGAGATATCCAATACTTTTGATGTTGCTACTGTTTGAACTGTTGTCAACAGTAGATGAAGACATGTCAACATCATTATCCAACTTGATCTTCTTTGTTGCTCGAGATAGAGATGATGTAGTATGATCCATGTTATTGTTATTATTGTTATTGTTGTCTTGATCTGATGTTGGTTCGCTTCTTGGCCTGATGCTACCTCCTCTGCCACCACCAAAGCCTCCACGTCCTCTGCCTTCTCCACCAAAGCCTCCTCGGCCACGGCCTCCGCCAAAGCCTCCACGTCCTCTGCCTTCTCCACCAAAACCTCCTCTGCCACCGCCAAAGCCTCCACGTCCACCTCTACCTCCACCAAAACCTCCTCTGCCACCTCCTCTTCCACCTCCTCTTCCACCTCCTCTTCCTCTATTATTTCCTCCTTCCATTATATATTATATGTATATGTATATATTTGTTAATGTATTAATATGAACGACATTCACTTATTCATTCATAATTACATTACTCGTCGTTTTCGTGTTTGTGAAACTACTTTGATTATGGGTCAAAAACGAACACACAAACACGAAAGAAGGTTGATGATGTTGACGAGTCACACACCCGTCAAGTCATTATTATTCTTTATTCCAATTATTGCCAATCGAATGAACATTACATTAATATCCATATTGATCATGATCAATAGATATCGGACTTTAGTGCATTGCGTGGCTCCTTGAGAAGTGATAGTTGATACAGTGCCTCCACGTTGGGTGGCTGCAGATTGCTGATGAACGACTGGATGATATTGACTGGATGCAGATTGTACTCGGACCATTGATATTGTTGAACCTCTGATATCACCTTATACATCAATGTATACTTTGAAAAGTTGATCAAGTTATTGCCAATGATATTGGGATTGCCCTCCTCTATAAATGTAAGATCTGTCAAGTATACTCCACTATAATTGTTTGATTGTAAGTGAGTGATTGTGATTAAGGGATGAATGTTTGATTGACTTACATGTAGGGGACACAAGGTGGATCAGTGTTATGCAGTAACTCTCTGTATGTCTTGTAGGATGATTCGCAACTCATTTCCTTTTCCAAGTCTTCCAGTGCCTGTGGATGAGTGAGTGAGCGAGTGGAAGTTAGTCAACTGTAACTTGATACTGGCGTTGAGGCCAAGGGACTGGCCACCCCCGTGCTCTTATCTTAACTTACCTCCAAGTACTTCCTTCCAACAATTGCTTTGGTATACTTGAGCCTCAGGATGGCAGAGTTGTTCAAGCCTCCAAGGAATGCCATCAGAGTGTTGTAGTTCTTCATCTCCCTGAGTTTCTCGGCAATCTTGATGACACGCTCCATGCGCTTGGCACGCGTCTTTACGCGATCCGGCTCCAGAATCAGCTTGGTGACCCAGAGTCCGACCTCGTTGAATCGATTGATCATCTCGAGAACGCGTGGCGACTTCTTGGCGGCCACAGCCGGCTTGTTCCACGCCTGGTTCAGGAACTCGGTCTGTTTGATCGATGAGTAGATGTTGAAGTCGTAGAGCGTCAGCTGGCGGGCAATCTCCTCGTCATCAAAGTCGAATATAGTGCTCGGGTTCTTGATGCCCTTCATGCGCGACTCTGGACGTTTGCGAGGTGATGAAGAGAGGGAGTTGCCAGCGGCGTCCTTGCCCCTCTTGTTGTTGGACTTGATAGCCATCACAGGCACGGGCGACGACGGCAGCTCGAGCGAGCTAGACAAGTTGACAGAGGGGCGTGGCGATGTGAACGTTCCGTTGCTCCTGGTCCGTGACATCTCACCCTTGATCATGCACGTGCGCTTCAGGATGGCATCGCGGAACTTGGTACCCGTGACCGGTATCAGGTTGTCGACAAACTCCACGACCTTGTTCGTAGTGCTGTGTCCAAAGTCCTCGTAGTGATGCTCCACCCAGTACTTGATGACGTTGGCCACACGCAGCTGGATGGACATCTTCTCACGCTCATCAATGTCGACGTTGGTCGGCACGTTGAAACGCTCGATGAGCTTCTCGAGCAGAACGAGTGGCGTCGTGTACGAGGAGTAGGTCATGAGCAGCGCCTTCATGAACATGAGGTCGTGCGTGTTCTCTGACGTCAAACGGATGATCAGCTTGTTGAGTGTGCCCGCCTCGATCGCTGGGTACGGGTTGTCGGGCGTTGGCGCAGTCTTGGCGTAGATGATGTTGAGTGGCGAGTCGGCCGGCTCCTCCCAGATGTTTGAGATCGTGCGTTGGTCCAGCTGCTCCGAGTCTGGCACCACCAGTGTCAGTGACGAATGCGACGACGATGATGACGATGACGATCCATCGCGTGCAATCACCTCCTCATCATCAACTGGATCGGCTCCAGCAGATTGATCATTATCCTGTGTCGTCGTTGTTGTCGTTGTTGCTGTAGTTGCTGTCGTCGTTGTCGTTGTTGTAGTCGTGGTGTCGCCTATGGGTGTTGATGTCGCGGCTGGTTTAGCCTTTGGTTGGATCTCCAACATCACTCTGTCGTTGGGCTGCAGGCCGACCTGCTTCAGGGTCATCTTGGCGTTGATGTCGTTCTCAGCCTCGCCCAGCTTCTTGAGGGTGTAGGCGCGAGAACGTGTGGGTGGCATACCCATGTTGATCGATAGCTTGCGACAGACATCCTCGACCGGGTCGTTAAAGTCGACATAGACCAGGCTCTGCTCGCCATCCTTGCCAAACACGTACAGGCGGTTGGGGTGCTCCTTGAACTCGATCTCCTTCTCATTATCGTAGGACCACAACGAGCGGTTCTGATCGAGCACGGCGCCATTGTCTCTGAACGCCAGGCAGAAGTTCTTATCGTTGGCAATGTTCTCATTGTGCACAATCATGCGGAACAACGAGGCCACCGTCACATACTGATCGAATTTAAATGTACACTTCACGTCCCTTGACTTGATCGACACTACATACTTCCTGCATCGTTGCTTAAACTCAACAGTTGTCTGTTTGAATGAGTGATTGATGAGTTAGCCTCGACCATCTATCAGTCGCGCATCATCCAACTCCAACACTTACATTGTTCTTAAGGTGATAAGACTCAAGGGTCATGTCCTCGTCCAGCCAGAATCCATCATCATCGTCATCGCTTGGAGTGAGGAAGAAGCCGCATTTGTTAAGGCTGTCCAGGAGACCTGTGCGCAGACCAGTGATCTTGATGGCCTTGGAGACGGTGGTGCTGGGGTCGAAGCTGAGCGTGAGACAGTTGAAGCGGGAGCTGTGTGTTGTGATCAGGATCTTGACCTGCAGAGACTTGGACTGGATGATGGTGGTGTCGGTCAGCTGCGACAGACTGCGGAAGATGAGATGTGACTGGGACGAGATGTGATACGTGGAGAACAGCTCGTCCTCGTCCAGCATGATCTCGGTGTTGTGGCTCTGGTTGACGAGGAAGATGCCGTACTGGGAGATGTCGACCGATGTGTGGAACTTGAGACACAGCTTGCGAATGATCGAGCGAATCGACGTGAACTGCGTCAGCTTGAGCATGGCCTGCGCGGGCAGCTGGCCCTCGGAGAAGCCCGGAATGTGTATCTTAACAAAGATCACGTTCAGTATCACCGTCTTTAGCTCGAGTGGCTCGAACTCCCTGACCGCTAGCTCGAGCAGTGTGCGCTCCTTGTGCAGAGGCGTCAGCGGGTCGACCTGACGGAAGAGTGCATAACTATAATGTGTACTTGACTGCTGTTGTCCCTGTTGCTGTTGTTGTCCCTGTTGTTGTTTGTTATCGATGCTGCTGTTGACTGTCTCTTCAAAGTCGCCCAGGTTTATGTCTGTCTCCCATTCTTCGTTGCTGGTGTATCTTGCGTTGTGTAGGCCGCGATGGTGGATGAGGTTGGGGATGGCGATGGACAGAACTTCGTCGACGGTCGAGCATGGTGACAGCTTGAAGTGCTTCTCGGCCTGGTGGCAGTGCGCGTTGGGTGTGAGTGGCGGAGATGACGGAGACAGTGGCGACGAGGGCGGCGTCAGCGACGCCATATTGGGTGTGGACTTCCACTTGTTGATGGGCGTGGCATCCTTTCGCTTTGTATCCTTATGATCGTCTACAGTCCTCTGCTGGTGCTGCTGTTGCTTTGTCGGTGTGGATGACAACATCATCGGACTGTTGGTGAGCGATGTGACATTGGGCGTCGACATACTCAGTCCGGGACTGGACGAGAACAGCATGCGGATAGTGATCTCGCTTGGGATTGACTTGGACTCAAACACCAGACGAGGTGAGTCCTTTGTTCGGTTGGAGACTTCCTCAAGTCGATTGGATGCCTCTTGTGTCAACTCCTCGTCACTGTCACTGCTCTCATTGTTATTGTTGTTTGATACTGCCTTCATCATTTCCTCAGTGCTGCCTGCCAGGCTTGTGTATAGGTCAAGCCTTGGAATGATCAATTGATCATTAATATCATCATATTGTTGTTGTTGTTGTTGATGCTGTTGCTGCTGCTGTTGCTGTTGCTGAAGGTGTGGTCGTCCGGGTGGTGGTGGTCTGGCTCGGGGAACTGGAGGTGAGTGGACGGGAGATGAGTCTGGGCTACCAGGCAGTGGCAATGGCTTATGTTTGAATGGCACAAGATTGGCCGATGGCTTCTTTGACGTCGCCGGACTTGATGGATATTGTGGAGAAGACGCTGAATATTGTACTTGTTGTTGTTGATATTGATGATCTACTTGTTGTACATATATCTGTTGTTGTTGTGATTGTGTTGGAGGAGATTGATTGGCGTTACCAGCAACATTATGATGATGGCTTGTTGATGTGAGTGGCGGGGATGGCGGCAGGATGGTGACCTGAGCCGAGTCATCGGCCGACGATTGGAATGATGGTGATATCTGTACTCGTGGTGCTGGTGCTGGCTTCTGCTTTGGTGTCGTCATCATCAATTGTTCCGACAACTGTTTGTTCAATTGTCTCTTCAAGTCTGCAACACTCATCTTATCGCTATTATCATATATAATTGTATTATTATTATTATTATTATTATTATTGTTGATGTTGTTGTTATTAATACATGTTGATGTTGATGATGGTTGTTGTTGTTGTTGTTGTATATCATCGTTGTTGCCATTTCCGTCATTTGACAATGTCAACTTTGAAGAGAATGTCTCTTCAATGTCCAAGACATTATGCATCCTTGTTGTCATGATTTGTTATTGTTGTTGTGTCTTGTCTCTCTCTAATATATATATATATATATATAAATAGATAATATTATTATTTGATTGATTGAATGATGGACTATAATACAATGAGATGGAGATAAGAGATAGGATAGAGATAATGTAGTTTACAATAAGGGTTGTGTTGTGTCGTGGATTGTTTGAGATCTGTGTTGTTGTTCTTTGATGGGTCACGTGTTATCTGTTGGGTCGGAGAGAGTGGGTTGGGGATTGATTGAGGCCTGAATGGGTTAAGTTGAGTTGAGTTGAGTTGGCCCCTATGACTAATTGATTGATTGATAAATCGATTGGTTGTTTGATTGATTGGTTGGTCAGTTGGAGTCACCCCTGACCATCCTCTTTGCAATGACTACTGTTTGCTGCTTGGTGGTTGAATGAATGAATGAATGAAAGTGAATGAATGAACAAGCAAACAAACAAGCAATCGGTGTTATGTTGTGTGTTTGTATAAATATATATCTATCTATCTCTATGTGATGTGATGTGATTGTCAAGGAATGAGTGTTTTACTTGTGTGTTGTGGTGAGGAAGGACATGGACAACTGTTTGCTTGTTGTGTTGTCTGTGTGTGTGTGTGTGGGTGCTGTGGACTCTGAGGACCGCAAAGTCCAAGGCCTAGACCACACACACACATTCCTCAGCCCACTGCTAGATTTATTTGACAAAAAAGAATCAGAGGGGACAAGCCCAAGACCATGTTGCATGGGCTCTGTTGCGATCATTATTTGTAGTTTTGGTGGGGTGCAAGCCCCGGTTGGTGGTCTCCAATGCCGCTCCCCCGTTTTGTTCAGTCTCTCTTTGATCATGATCATTTGGAGTGTTTGTTCATTCATTCATTCAATCATTCAATCACTTTGATTGATGTCGTTTGTTGTTGTTGGTTGAATCATTCATCAACTGAACCATGTTAGTTCGATCATTTACTACTTGTATGTCTAAATATCTACAATGTTTCCATCTGACTGATTGATTGATTGATTGATCGTTTGATTGACTTGGTAGTTCAAACACAGTCCACCAGCCAGCCAGCCAGCCATGTGAATTGGATTGGATTCGATTAAGGATGGACCTGGCCTGACCTGGCTTGATCACATTGTCTAAGGCATGGACTCATTTGGGTTCGTCCCTAGGATGACTGGATATTCCCGAGACAGGCCAATCAGCACACACGATGAGTTTGCAAACTGGATGTGTGAGAGTTGGTGCATGAGTTGGGAGTTTGAGTTGGAGCTGCTGGGGTTGGATGAGATGATCACCTCATTTGGCTGATGCAGTTGATGATGTTGATGATCGTAGATGTTGTAGGTGTAGAGTGATTGAGCGTTTGAGTTGGGTGTCCTCCGAGTCGGACTCGGACTCTGGCATGATGTGGTCAAACTCATGAGTCTCGGTTGCAACAGCAGGCACTATTCTCGATGAGCTTAACAGACTTGTGAATATCTTGGGATGTGCACGGATGTTGACCTGCTCGTTAAAGTCCCTGGACAATGACAATGGCTGGAGAATCGCTCGACTTGCTATCAGACTATCGATTGGCATGATGGTCGTCGTGTGTGAGAGTGGCGCTGGTCGGACTACATCAGCGCCAACGCCAACCAATGAGTCGTCCTCATCCTCTTCCTCTTCGATGCTCTGTCGCTTGTGAGTGGACATCTCCATATCCATCTCCAACTCGACGACCTTGACATTATCGAATTGGACTCGTCCAACTTTGCTCTCGACATTGCCCTCGCCATTGACATTGTTGCCATCGCCATCGCCATAGTATACCACCATGGCCAGTTGAATGGACTGGAATGCCGGGACGACGACATAGGTGAGCATGGCCAGGTAGTCAAAGGGCTGGCGGAAGCCCAGACTGATGATGGCGAATATGCCTCCAAGCATATCGAGTACAATGAATAGTTTGCTGATGCCCATGCCAGACTTGGCCCTGTAGACCACCATCAACTGTGGGATGAATCCAAGTGTCATCAAACATGCTGATGCCACTGATGTGATTATATCAAATACGCGGGTCTGACGCCCGGCCCTCGTCTGATCACTGAATATCAAATAAAGGAATCCAACCAGTACCACTGTCAACACGATCAATCCACCTACATAGCTGGCCATATTACTCTTTGTTGGTTTGCTTTTGTTTGATTGTGGGGTTGGGGTTGGTGGTTGGGTGGGGGTTAGGCTGGAATCATTCCATGTGGCGTCATCCAATCATACATACTTTTGATAATAGATGACTTGGAAGAGTAGGATGAAACAGAATATACCAAATAGGATTATTTGGATGATTAGTGATATTGTTGATTGTTGAAACACTAGATATGTCCCCAGGAATACCGAGCACAAGTACCATGATGCAGAACAATACATTGATTGATTATCTGCACTACCTTGTTTATAATTGAGTCGTACTGTATTTTTGATTGATTGATCGAGTGATTGAGTGATGTGAGTGATGTGAGTGAGTGAGTGATGGCACATGACTAATGTATGACATGACATGACACATACTTTGAGGCACAAGTTGAACGGACCATATTGCGGCACCAAGTAAACCAAATATATTTGCTAATATTACATTGTCCATGTTTGATAATAAATAATAGTTTATGTATATCTCTACAAGTGAGACATATTGAGTTAAGTATATGTATGTATGTTTGAATGTTTGATAAAATGTATTGACGAATGAATGTATGAATGAATGGTTGGAGTATTATTCAGTGATCAACATCATTATTGTTGAGTGATTTATAAAGCCCAAGGTACACCTTTAGACCACACATCACCCATCATGAAGGACCTTTGCAAGCCCCAAACCCCTTCCAATCCAATCCAATCCTTTTGTTGTTGAGTTTAGTGTGTGATTCAATTTCATTTATTTTATTTATTTATCATTTTTATTCGTCTAAAATAAAAATATCTTTATTCGTGATGATCGGCATTATCATCATCATACCATCACTGACCTTATTCTGTTATGTGTGACACAACCAACTAATAATAATGATAATAATAATAATCACACTATCAACATAAGAGTTGAGAAGATACCTTCTCAAACATAAGTTTGAAGACTCGAGTGAGAAGAATCTTGGATGAACAAGTCACCACTTTCATGGAAGTCAAGAAGTGAGTGAGTTAGTGACTCATGACACGTTGAATGGATGAATGAATGAATGAATGAATACATTTACTTTATGTCATTGATATATGTATAATAAGAGATATAGATAGAGATAGAAGTTATGTCATTGTTATTTGAAGCGATAAAGGATAAAATAGCAAGTTCAGTACATTCATTTGCAAAGTCATATGATTGTCAGTCGACAAAGTATCTGGCAGTTAATGACATTAATATTGAAGTTGATCATTCAATATTGTTGGAATCATTCCATTCATTGACATTGGAACAAAAGAATGATGTTTATTATAAGGTTTGGGAGTTGGCCAAGATGTTGGACCCGACAATAACAGGAATGAATTGGGGCGAATGCAATGTGTTTGGTGACATGCATTGCCTGGCCAGAGCAATGCATCGACTTGGACACTTGGGAAACAAAGGACTATACCCTATTCAATGCCTGTCATTCGAGTTTGGCGAAGGAGGCCTCGGCTCACAATACATGTCGCGAGCAGAGTGTCTTGGAATCGATCCATCAACAGGCCACATTGGCTATGTCAACGGCATGGGAATGCGCAACTTGGTGAATGCTGGCCGCGACATGGTGTGGATGTCGGACAACCTGTGCGACGGAAACAACCTGCACTACGTCTATCACTCGACTCATGTTGATGAGCGATTCGTGGGCCGGGACTACCGTGGCCTTGTCAAGGACGTGCTTCGAATGGCTGCGGTCAATGGAGGCAGCTACACCAAGACATCATATCTCGTGGCACAACAATGGATTGACTATCTCGACTCCAATCCAAGTAAGAACTACCTCCGCTTACTTCATCTCAGTGGATGAATATGACGATGACAACAACCCAGACCGAGGCAGCGAACATGGCCATGGAGGAGGGTTACAAGTACTCAACTTTGTTAAATTGGAAGATAAGTTGATCAATCCTTGGGGGATGAACACACATCAGATTGGCAAATGTCCAAGAATAGTCATAGTTCCACATCACACTCAACAAGACAATCCTCACAACAAGTCAAGTCAAGATTTCAAGTCAATAGTTCGGCCCTATATCCAGAGATTCATGCTTGATGGTAACCTTTATGACCCCAACCAAGTCCAATGCGGCCGAATGAGGCCGAATGAGGCTAACTCATCGCAATTATTCAATCAATCAATTGATTGATCCACGTCATTTAATACATGCCATGTAATATAATGTAATATTACCTTGATCAGGGTCTGAATCACTTGATTGCAATGAGTGTTTTGGGTTTCCTTTTTTGGTAGTAGGGACTCAGCCTGGGGCCTGCGGTCTAAAACCAAAAGTTATAAGATCTCTCAATCAGTGATCCACATCAATCAAATCATACATCAATCAATCAACCATTCATTCAATGTATGTTGAACAGTGATACATGGATACAAACAACTGATACTTACCCAAGTCTGCATGTTGGACCCGACACACTAAAGGTACTCGAGGGCCAGAGCCATCACAACATCAACAACATCATTCATTCAAATCCAACGACTTTCCAACAACAAACGATCAATGTCAACATCATCATCACAACCATCAACAACATTTGTTGATCACTTTGGCAAGGTGAGCGACTCGTACCGCACGTTCAGACCAACGTACCCACCAGAGTTGTTCGAGGTGCTCAAGAAACACACGGCCAACACGCCTCGCAAGCTTGCGTTTGACATTGGCTGTGGCACTGGTCAGGCCACCGTCGAGATTGCCAAGTTCTTTGAGAAGGTGATTGGATTCGATCCATCCGCTGGTCAGATTGGCAGCGCCGTCTCCGACTCGTCCAACGTCGAGTACAAGGTGTCGCCCGCCGAGTGCATCGACTATGATGGACCCAAAGCCGATCTCATCACCGTCGCTCAAGCAGCTCACTGGTTCGATTTGCCCAAGTTCTTTGGTGAGGTCAAGTATGTGTCCTTGGAGTATTGAGACAATCATGATTGGAACCATCCCGTGTCACTCACTCATTCATTCATCGATCAATCAATCAATCAAACATATAGTCGTCTTCTCCAACCTGATGGATCATTGATTATTTGGTGTTATGGAACATGTTCAATCACTGATAATGATGAGATCAATGCCATTCATATGGATGTAAGCATGTTCATTCAATCAATCAATGGATAACGAATGACAGCTGACACATCCATCGCATCACAACCATGACACAGTACTACAGCAACACACTTGGTGATCAATACTGGCCTGCCAACAGAAAGTTGATCGATCGCAACTATGAGGACATCATCCCGCCATTCCCAAACACAACCAGGGAGCAGATATCATTCACCGTAAGTCCATCATCTCCTCGATCGTCATGTCCCATCCATACTAAGTACTCTCAATCAACTTAGAAAACACTTTCAATCAATAGTATGATTGGATACTATGGTACATGGTCTGGATACAATAAGTATAAGGAGATGAATAATGGACAGGATCCACTTCCATCATTGAAGCAGAGGTTGATCGCTGCCCTTGGAGCAGGTGCCGATGAGAACACCATGATCACACTTCGTTTCCCAGTCTACTTCATCATCTCCAAGTTCAAATAAACAACTCCATTGAGTGCTCCATCCATCCATCATCCATCCATCAATCATCCATCATCCATCCGTCCATTCAATTATTCATTCAAACCTGTCAACCAATCAATCTGGGAACTGAGTCTAGATGGACATATTGAATATTATGTTGTAGATTTGTATATCTAAATCCTTGGCGTATATATCTACATCAGTCTAGGACTGATTGGAAATCATTCATACTTCAACTCCAACTCCAACTCCAACTACATGTACATCTTCCATTCCACTTCATTCCATTCTCTATCTCACAAGTTGTCTTGAAGACAAAGAAAAAAACAAACACACAACACAACACAACAAAGAAACGTCCTAACATCTCAATCCATCTTCACTCCACTCACTATCCTTCACTCTACTATACTATACTCTACTCAATACTTTAACTACATCCAACAACATAATCTATATAATATATATCATTAAGCTTCTATATACTCCTCGATATTACTCAATATACCAACCATCCTGACGTCCATCCATTCATCAACCTGTCACCTGTCACTCATTCAATCATTCATTCAATAGTCATTCAGACGACTGTACCATTGTCGTTGTCATTCATTCTCATTCAATCAATCATTCAAGACTGACTTGTCCAAGCTAGTCTACACGACATACATCCACAGACGATAGACATACGGTCGTTATTAAGTTAATAGTATTACTCACGAGGTTGTGTGCACTGACAGAACAGAACAGAACAGAACAGACAACTCGTAGAGAATGATGTTGATGACTACAGTGGCGGCGGCCCCTACCAACACCAGCACCATGGCCGACTCCTCAAACAACATCAATGATAACAACAAAGGAGGTTCATCCGATGATGCCAAAGTACAAACACCAGTGGTATCTACATCTGCAGCTTGCTCTCTGTTTGATGGCAACTTCTCTGGCACTTGGAAGGCCTTTGGAGATATATTAAATACATTGGCCAATGAGCGAGAGTCAAGTATAAGGCGAGCGAACACTATAACAAAGTGTAAGTGTCACTCTCTCCCTCCATCTAGTCCTCGACAACGTCAACGACATTGACTAACAACACTCATTCTCATTCATTAGCCAACAATATAATGGCCAACAACGATAACAACAACAAAGACAAGAGCATAGATGTAGTAATAGAAGACTCTGCTGCTACTGCTGCTGTGGTCGATAGCGAAGCGAACAATAACAACAACAACAATAACAACAGTGATACCAAGTCCGAAGTCAGTGATGAAGATACTACAATCCCCGTGTTGAGCGAAAGCTGTAAGTACTCACCTCCACCTCGCCTCGCCTTGCCTCGCGAGTGCACATACGGCGTTCAACCTCTAACCACATGTTGCCCATCCATTCGCTACAGACATGGATGTGTTTGGTATACTTCCTTCCAAGGACCCTCTGGTGTTGGTCGTCTGCAACAGATGCTCAAAGACCATCAAGCAGTCACGATTCGCTGCTCACTTTGGTAAGTTGGTCCAAGATGTTGATCGATCCAACGATCGACCTATTGGAGATGCACACATGAGCAGTGCCCTAACCATTCCATCCACTCACTCAATCAATCAGAGAGTTGTATAAACGATCCTGATGAGCCAAGGCTCAAGCGAAGCTCACTATCTCAGGAGTGTAAGTAGCTCAGTCCAATCAATCAATCAATCTTACTGACTGACTGACCCTGTACCACATCAACCAACATGATCAGTGAGACGAAGGAATGGAATCAATAACAATGTAATGGATAAGAAGAACGTTGCCAATGTAAATAATCAGAGTTCATCGTCGGCATCAACGGCCGCAGCTCCAACAGTACCACTGTCGCGTGGTCGTCCCAAGAAGAAGGTTGACGCACCGCCCGTACAACCACCACTCGAATCCATCACAGCCAAGAAGGTTGCCGTCGCTCTATCATCAAGGAAACGCACCAATGACAGTAAGTTTGATTGATTGATTGATCGGAAGGAGGAAAGGAGATACTGACTCGCACACGCACGGTACGTTATAGCACTCAATAATAAGGTACAGAATAGTACTGTTGCTGAGGATGGGATGGATATTGATGGAAAGGCAGAGTCGGAGAAGAGCTCATCGTCGGCTGGAAGCTCGACCACTGCATTGCTGGAACAGGACAAGTCGCTGAGCGACTCAAACGACGAGGACATGGTGGTGAGCGTCGAGCTGGACCAGAACGTCATCTCGGCCACAGCCATCCCAATCACGCTGATACCAATCGCCACACGCTCCTACATTCGTTGCAACAAGCTACGTCGCGTGATCGTCAGTCTCGACCCTGGCTACAAGCTGACGAGTGCGGCGGCGCCCATATTCACCAACGAGGACGACTACTCGGCAAGCAGTGATGAAGAGCCGGACCACTCCGCTCGGCCCATCATTGGCCCATCAAACACTGCTGCATCGGCAACGATCAATGGCAGCTACCACGTCTACCAGCGCCAACAGCAGTTGCAACAGCAGCAACAGCAACAACAGAACATGGCCCAGTCTGCTAACATGCCCACGCCAATCACAAACAACATGACGGTCACTTCCAACCAGCCAATGGGCAACATGGCCAATGGCGGCGCCATGACGGCGATCAACCACGCAATTCCATTTGGAGGACCAAACAATGGCGCCGTTGGACAGATGAACCCAATGATGAACCCTGTTGGTCAGCAACAGTTGTCCTCGTCGACGGGTGGCACCAACAACATGATGGCCAACGTCCCGCCAACGTTTGTGGGAGGCGCAATGACCATGGCACCACTGCTACAACACGGTGGTGCTGGCCAGCAGCAGCAGCAGGCCAATGTACAGACCACTGCCCAGATGCCTGGACAACAACAGCAGGGCATGATGCCATCGCCACAGCAGGCTCATGGCGCCGTCACATCACCATTGATGGCATCGCAGTCGTCGGTGCCAACAATGCCCGCTGCGCCAGCAACAAACAACGCAGCCACAACGACTGCATCAAACGCCAAGTCGCCGCCAAAGAAGAAGAAGACATCCAGCCGATCAAAGAAGACTGTGGACAAGTCGGCCAACTCGACGCCCAACCAAACACATGCCTCGACACCTCTGACGACCGAGGGGTCGACGCCCCTCAACGAAGGCATGTCCTCACCAGCCTCTTCTCTATCGGCCTCGTCCGACTTTGTCTCTGCCGAGTCCAGCAGCACCAGCAGCAAAAAGAAGCGATCGTCCTCAAAGAAGGAGAAGGCATCTTCGTCAAAGGACTCCAAGTCATCGAAGAAGTCCTCGTCCAAGGATTCAAAGGATTCAAAGGACTCCAAAGACTCCAAAGACAGCAAGGACTCTAAGGACTCAAAAGACTCCAAGAAGAAATCTTCTTCGTCATCATCATCAGCAGCGGCCACAGCGACTGCAGCAGCAGCGACAACAGCAAGCTCGTCATCGACAGCGACGGCTCCAGCCACACCGACACAACACCCAACACCAACAACTCCGGCAATGGTCCAACAGCCAACGGCCACTCACCCTTCAATGGTCCCACTGCAACCCCAACAACAAGCACAACCAATGCCAATGCAACCACAACAGATGCACCAACAACATCAACAGTTGACAATGGGCCAGCATAACATGCTGCCTCAGCAACCTTTGCAACAACAACAACAACCTCCACTACCTCAACAACAACAACACCAAATTCAACAACAACACCTACCTCTACAACAACAACAGACTATGCAACAGCCAATGCAGCAGCAGCAGTATACGCTGCAGCAACAGCAACAACTGGCGCAACAACAACAATTCCAACAACAACAACAAACGTCTCAACAAGCTGTTGGCTTCCAACAGCCTGCCTCCTACCCGATCCAATACCAACCGGTGGTGCAACAACAGCAGCAACAAACACCCAATGTACAGATTCATCAACTCCAACAGCCCACCCAGCAGTATATCCCACAGCAACAAGGGCAGTTCCAACAGCAGCCACAGTACCAGCAGAACATCCCGCAACAAATGTATTCACAAGTGCAAGTGCCAATCAATCCACAGCAGTTCCAGCAGCAGCAACCCGTACAGCAGGCACAGCACAAGCAGCCTGCTGTTGTGCAGCAGCAATACCAGCATGTACAGACGCAACAACAGCCCTTGCAACAGCAGCAGATAGGAGTGCAGCAACAGCAGGCGCAGCAATTCAAACAGCCAATGCCACAGTATATCTATGCTCAACAACAACCGCAACAAGTTGTTGTCGCCGGTGTTGGCCAGCAGCAGGCGCAGCCACAGCAGATCAACTACGGAATGTCAATGCCAGGCCAGCCCATCCAGACCTACCAAAATACACCTGTACAATACCAACAACAAACAACCGCACAACAACAACAACAGTTTGCCCAGCAACAGCAGGTGCAAGGACAGGCCATGCGAGCGCCAAACACTGGCATGGTTCAAGTACCATCGCCTCAGCAGCAGCAGCAAATGCAGCATCAGTTCCAGCAGCGATCAATTGGCTCGCCCGCGGGCATGGTCACGCAGCAGCCACTGCCACAACAAGCGCAACCACCAAGACCGATTGGATCACCGGCGGGCATGGTCACTCAACAGCCACATGCTCAGCAACAGCTGCCACAACAGGCAGCTGTCTATGCCAACGCCATGGCAATGAAGCAGCAACAGCCACAACAGTTGCAGCCACAACAAGTGCAACAACAGGCTGCAGGCATGCCAATTGCTCAGAACATGTACAACACATACAACATGATCCCAGGCAACATGGTCACAATGATGTCGCCCAACGCCAATCAATCCGGTCTGCCTCCAACAACCCATCAGTAATAGTAATCATTAATGATTGTGTGTTTGTTCCATGTCTCCATAATAAATAAGCTCGTATACGTAACCAATCAATCAATCACCTGGTCATTCATTCAATCATTCAATGTTATAGGTACAAAGACTGTAAGTTAGGTTTATTATACATATATATGGATGATGATCATTATATGGTTGGAACGAGGCTGGCTGGCCGGCAGGCTGGTTGAAAGATTGATGGATGGTCCTTACACTCCAATTACAAAGGTAAGTTGGTGATTGATTGGTTGTTTGTTGTTGTTCTAGTTATACGGACTATATATAATGGTTTGATTGATCGTTATCGTTCATGGATGATGGGTGAGTGGAAGCGTTGGCACTGCCGCCAACTTGTTCTCTGTAGGTTTGGTAGATGTATTTGTACAATGAATGATGATGGATGGATGGCAGAGGATGAGAGGAGGTTGGAAAAAAAATGTTGATGATCAGTCGGTCGATTATGATGATGATGACGGCTTGCATGCATGACTATCCAGAATGGTTGAGGCGACAAGGTGTCCCTTAGAATCCAGAGTTCATGAGTGAATTGGTAAGGAAGATCTTCTTGAGAATGCCTTCCATGTTGTCGCGTGAGTCAGCCTTCTTGATGAAGGGATGCTTTAGGAGATCGACGGCGGTGGCACGCTCAGCTGGGTCCAGTTTCAGGCATTTCGACAAGAAATCCTTGAATGTGTTGGACCAGAGCTCTGGCTCGTCAAAGCCTGTCGATCCCTCTGTGGCGACTGTGAACATGGCCTTGACAGCCGACTCCATCATTGGCGGCCTCTGATTGGCCATCTCCAACAATGATACTGCAAAACTCCATATGTCCACTGCTGTATTATGAGGCTTGCCCAATATCATCTCTGGCGCCATCCAAAATGGTGAGCCAACCATGTGGCACGGGCTGGAAGTCGACACATCCTCGCACAGTCCAAAGTCAACTGTTAGAGTGAACGGGTATTAGTGAATGTTTCAATGATTGATTGATCGATTGAGTGATTGAGTATACTTACTTAACTTAATCTTGCCCTCGACAGACATCATAATGTTTGCGCTCTTTAGGTCTCTGTGAACCATGCCATTCTCATGCAGGTACTGCAGTCCCTTGAGGAGCTCACGTGCAATGTAGGCCAGGTTGTTCTCGTTGAATCGCCATGCGCGAGCAGCCTCCTCGAACGTTCCACCCTCCATAAACTCCATTATCAGCCAGAGGTTCTGATCCTTGTCCAAATGGCAGGTAATGAGCTTGACAATATTTGGATGATTGCACTTGGCCAGTATTGAAGCCTCGCGGAAGTTTTGTTGGATCTGACGCTTGGTCACATGAGGCATCTTCTTGATTGCCACCATCTTCTTCTCCTTGGTGGAGCGGGCAAAGTAAACGGTACCAAAGCCACCCTTGCCCACCTGGTCCGGGTCCTTGTACAGCTTCTTTAGCTGGCCCGGCTCGACGGGCACCAGCAGCGTCTCGCCGTCATTGAATCGCTCCGAGACAAACTTCTTGCGGGGCTCGCGAGGTGGCTCGCCCTCCATACGAATGTTCTTGCCAGTGCGGAAGTAGAGCACGTGCAGCAGCACCTGCATGTTCTTGACCATCTTCTCCTCGGACAGACCCGACAGCTTGACCAGCTTCAGGCAGTCGTCGGGCAGGTCCTCCAGACCCTTGATATATATGATCTCGCGAGCATCTGGCACACGCTCCTCCTCCTTCTTGGAGTCGGGCGTCGTCGACTTGGGCATGGCGGCCGGCTTGACCGGCTCCTTTTCCTTGTCCTTCTTGCCGCTCAGGTTGAAGTTGAGCAGTGAGGGCTTGTGCTTGGGTGCGGGCTTGCTGTTGTCGCGTGCGCCCGATGCGGGTGCTGTGGCGGCGGGTGCCGTAGCCGGCGTTGGTGACGCTGTGCTGTTGGCGTGCTTCTCGCCGCCGCTTCCACTGTGACTGTTCTCCACTTCGCAAGTTGCAATGAATCCACCATTGTCGGGCGGTGTCGTCTTGCCCTCGTCATGTTGTTGTATTGGATCGGTCAATGACTTTGTAGAAGAATCATTCGAATGTTGTTGCTCTGGGTTATTATTATTGACTGCTCCATCACCAGCAATATTATGTTCATCCTGTTGTAATTCATCATGTTGTTGATGCTGTTGATGTGGTGATGAGAACAAGTTCTTTGCTTTCTTTAACAGACTCTTCATTCTTATCTTATCTATCTATATAATTATATGTTATATTATATGTTATGTATTATTACTACTTGAAGGTAAGTAAGTATATGTATATGATGATGATGTTAGAGGTCAGTTCAGGGTGTAATGAATGGTAGGGTAGGGGCAACTTGAGTTGAGTTGAGTTGAGTTGAGAAGTGAATGAATGTGTGTGAATGTGAATGAATGAAGTGAAGTGAGAGAGAGATAGATAGATGTAGAGGTAGAAGTAGAGGTAGAGAAGTGATAAAGGGTTTAAACTCCAAAGAGAGAGGATGGACTTGTATGAATGGTCATCGGCTGGCCAGCCCAAGGGTGGTGTATCAATCAATCAATCATTCAATCATCATTGTGTGTGTGTGAGTGTAATTATAGCCCACCTGCAAGGGGCAGAACCATGATCACTCACACATACACACCGACATATATATTTATAACTATGTACATATATATATTTAAGATGTGTAACATCAACACAGATAGAGATGAAGAGTGAGAATGTGGGTGTTGATGTGATTGTGTGATCGTGTTGTGATTGGACGTGATGAAAACAGAAGGCAACCGACGCACCCCACCACAATCTCAAGCATGTGGGTGATCAATCACCACAAGGTTGATGTGGTCGGGTTATGTGTGTGTGTGTGTGGAGGGAAGGGAAGTAGTGTGATGTGTTGTGTGATGTTATCACTTACCTTTGATGGAATAGGTTGGGCCTTCTACTACTTCTGCGCGCAAACGTTGGTTGGACTGTTGACTTGGCAGAGGACAACAAACGACACTTTGTTTTTTTTTTCTTCTTCTTTGACGACTTGTTGTTGCTGGTTTACCAGATTGATTGATTGATTGAGTGTTGATGGAGATTGGAAGAGCCTGTGAATATTATTATTATTGGTGAAGTCGATTGATTGGCGTACTGGTCCGTGTAGTATGAGTGGAAATGGAATTATGTGGAACGGAATTACAATGACGACAACGAATACTTTTGATCAAATCAATCAAAGTACACTATCCTTTTATGTCTAGAATTCTGAACTCTATTGTTGTGAATAATAACTGTTGTTGAATATTGATAATAATAATTATTAATGAATATGGTATAAACCTGCACCAATGCCAAGGGACACAATTAACTATGATCAGTGGCTGGCAATGGGCTTTAGCAAAGCTGGATGTGTAAGGTCGGTTGGTGAAATATGATGTAGGTGACGTCCTGTGTAATATTGGACAATCTCAAAGGTTGAAGGTCGACACAATGTCCAAAAGCTATCTGACTGACTGACTGACTTGTTTACAAAGTGGCCAATGCTACTGCTATGATATATAATGGGAGGTTTATGTTTGATTGATGTTGATTGACTGTCTGATCAAGTGTGTGTGTGTGTAACTGTGTCAGTGTGTGTATGTGTGTGTTTAGTCAAAGTAAGTAAGTAAGGATAGGATTGGTATTGTACTGATGAGTCTGATGTTGGGGAACAGGAACAGTCGAGTCGAGTCCCGTCAATGTAGCCAATACTCACACTCTAACTCTCACACTAACACCTCGTTCAATCTTGTAATAGGTGATAAAGAGAGAATGCCTGAGGGCGGATGGATGCACATCCTATCCTAATCTAAACCGAAGCCAAGAGGCTAAAAACAACCGCATTCATCATTCAGCTCCCAGGGGCGTGGTTGTTGAATCGAATGGAATTGCTGTTTGATATGAGTTAGAGAGAGACTTGGACTGAGACGATGGATGGTAGGAATGGTAGGTATGTACCGTCATGATTGTAATGGGATAGATTGTTGTGGCAAGATGGGTGGACCAACCCCCACTTACCCAAAAGTTGTATTCCATGGACTCGACCAAACAGGCCCACCCAAGGTGATGGGGAGCCTCTGGCTCATATGACCACAAGTTTTTGATCAAAAATGGGGGTTGGACACATTATCGACTAAAATTAGATACATAGCCTTGTTTGTCACAAGACTCTGACCGATGGACTGAGGTCTTCTCTATCGCTTTCTACTTACTTTGGTAGAGTGAGAGTGTGGCGTCTATTTTATGTAAAGTAATTAAAGAACTCTATGTGATGTGATGGCAGTTAAGGAAGAAGTAGTTGTAGAGCCACCCCCCAGTAAACAGGTGTCGAGACATGACGACTTCACTTACAATTTATACTTTGAATCGGGGAACAATAAGGATTCCAAGAGGTTTGATGGATGGACTGATCAAGATCTTGGGCGGTACCATGGGTGTAGTCCACTTTTCAAACCCATTGATGATGCAACAGTGCGATTCAATGGTCTCCTATGGTCTTACCTTGGGAGATGTCTATCATCCACGATCCTTATCAGATCTATATGTAAGCCAATCTCAATCTGGCTCTTGTTCTTCTTCTTCTTTGTCTCTTGGTTCATTCTCTTTAATGAGATCATTCTATTTCTATCTTCTGGAAAACATAAAAGGATATCCATCATCTTCTCCAAGGACAGGATTGAACTTTAGGTCATTACATTGGCGGGTCCATCACAGGTCTTGATTGATTGATTGATTGTCATTGCTTGTTTGATTGATTGTCAACTTATATGACGTTATTATCTAGGAATAGATAATGAAATGATCACTTACCAATCATTTACTTGATAATGATCATTAAAGGCAATTGATATGGGTAGGTTGACGACATGCTCGTAAATAGTGATTGGAGGAGGGCTGCCCCATCAAGTGTGTGAGTGAGGGAGGCTGGTCATCAACAGAACAAAAAAAAAAACCAAAGTATTGGTCAAAGATGGAAGCATTGTTGTTGCTCTCGTGGTGAGTCTCATCAATCACTCACACACTAGTGAATGACCTCTCACTCAAACAAACGCTTAAATCAATCAAACAATCAATTATTTATACATCCATTCATTCATTCATTCATACAACTTCCCTCAACAACGTTCATTCAATAACAGACACAGATCCAGCCAGAGAAGCGATCACACTAGTATAGACGAATATCGCAGAGTTAACCTTAAACTAAGAGATAGACAGACAGGTTGTCAATGCTACTAGGATGATACGGTCGGCGATGTGTATTGACATGCCGGCAGTACGCTTGGCAGTGGCGTTTGTGACAATGACAATTGCACTTGCGCCACAGTCCACACTGGCCACATACACAGCGCCGCACTCGTTTGTTTTATCCGAGGGCGTCGAGACCCTCGGTCAGTTCGGCTTCCTCGCCAACGGTCACTTTGACCTCAGCTACTCTATCATTGATGTAAGAGTCTACAGTTTGGCCACATCCATTCATACTCACTCGATCAATCATCAATCAATCAATCAATCTATACTTTAGGGTAACTATGTAGCCAATACATCTAAATTGCTGATATGTACGAATCAGGAGTACAACAATATAGCATCGAATACTTATTGCAAGGAATGGACTCGCTCGATGAAGTGTGCCATCAATTATACATTGGAGAGCTCCAGTGGCTATATATCTAATACGATCGCACGTCGATCATTCTATACGTTTCTCATTGCTCAGTGCACAGGACAGGCGTTGACATATCGAGTATGTGGTTTGTTATTACTACCGCCACTCCCTTCATGTGTGTCTTTATTCTAACTCAACAACTAGGTCTCATACGCCTTCTATCAAGCCGATGGCAACCAGCTTAGTTACGAGAGTATACCTCTGCCAGTGACCTATGTAGTATTCACCAGCTTCTGGGTCGTTCTATGTCTGGCTTGGGGAATCAACTGGATATTGTTTAGAAAGGTATGTTGTGTGGATGTGTGAGTGTTGGAGTGGCGCGAACAACGGAAACAGCATTGGCGGCAACATAAACTAATATCCCGGCACAATATAGCAAAGGATCAAGTTACATAGGGTCATCACTACGTACCCGATAACAAAGTTGGCGGTGGTCTCATTCTTTTGTGGCTATTGGTATTACCTGCGGTCACACGGTGCCGTTGGACTGGCAACGACCATCTTCTACTGGATATTCTATGCTGTGAACAAGACGATATCATGTGTGCTCCTACTTGTCATATCCACTGGCTGGGGCATATGCGCCTGCAAGTTTGAGCATCTCAAGCGATCATTGTATATAGTTGTCGGACTGCTGGCAGTAACGATCTGTTTGGGCGCACTCTTTGGTGGATTTTTCAACGTATGTTCATTGATTGGATACATGGGCATGGACTTGGGCATGGACATGGGCATAGACAAGGACATGGACTAACTCACATCAATCATCTTTAGTATCTCCAATTCATCGTATATATACCAATCCTGGGCATTATATTTATAAAGACCGACAACAATATACTTTCGATCAAAACCAGCATCCAGGAACTGGAACAATCAACATCTTCGTCAAGCTTACTAGTGATGGCCGCTGGTGATGGAAGTACATCACCGGTATCATCACCGGCATCACCTCAGTCCCCTCCATCACAACCTGAACAGCAACAACAGCAACAGAGGACAGGACATGAAACAAACAACTTTGAGAGGTTGAGTGTAAATGGAGATAGTGATGATAATGATAATGATAATGACAAAGATAATGAAGATAATCAAATAGAAAGGGACAGGGCCAAGCAACAAGAACAACAACAACCACAGGAGCAGCATACTAGCGACTCATCATCACGAATATCCAATCTGAGGGATGAAGACAAGGCCTTGCGACTCTCACAATACAACCAAAAGATAGCGATGTTCTTGTAAGTTTGGTGACAAAGGCGATGGATGTAGAATGATGACTAACATGGAGCTTCACTCATCATTTCAATAGTGCTTTCAAATGGATTATGCTTACATATTTATCATTGTTTATTATTGTAAGTCGTCATGGACAAGCATGTCCTGGTTGACATGGCAATGGCGGATGTACATAGCTAACACTCATACATTGTAGATCGACTTCCTCAAAGCAGCCTATCCAATAATCTGGGTCTGGGACTTCCTTGGACTGACAATCGACGTATTCCTATTCGTTTGTATTGGGTATGTGGTTGAAGCCAATCAATTAACAATTGTCCCGCCTCTAACAAGCCAACAATCATCAATCAATCAATCAAATTAGTTTTACATTTAGGCTTAGGGCAGCCAGACTATATTATGAATTCAAGGATGAAGAATGAGACATCAACAACGACGACGACTATGACGACGACGACAACACGATAACGACAACGGCTAACGACTGTTAAATTATTATTACTTAAGAGTAATAATAAACATTACATTTGTAAATAGGTGGAAGGTCTCTCACTTGGGACACAATTTAATGTTCTGACAGAGATCGAATGGTGGAAGCTTCTCTCTCAAGCCCTCGATGATCGCCTTGGAATACTTGGGCAGGATGGCCTCACACAATTTAGCCGCTCTACCATCCAATGATTTGCATTTCTCTTGGAATGACTCCAGCGCATCTGGAATTGTAACCTCTTGCACCACATGGTTCCTAAGATGGTACGCGGCAGCGATACACAATGGACAATTATCGCCAAAGTCTTTCAGATTGTCAAAGCCACCTCTGCAACGACCCAAAGCTCCACAAATCTTTTCCTTGGTCACCTCCTCCTTTATAATTGTATTCAATATACCTCCAATTAGATCTTGGATCAAGGCATGACACTTTAATGGACATTGATAATATATTAATAATATGTTCCATTCCAAATATTGTCCAATTGTACTTACCAAGTCTTCATGCTCAGAGCTGATATGTTTACATTTCTCCTCCCATCCATCACTAATATCAGTGATATTGAAAGGTTTGGTTATCTTGGAAGTTTGTTTTAACAATTGATCAACAACAACCTTACATTCTGGAAAAGGACAATACAATTAATTATTATTATAAATAAATTGGATTTAATATTTACTTACCAGTACATTTAATTAAACTACAATTTGCCAAACAGACCAATAATATTAGTTGAAGCAATATATATTTAAACATTTTCAATATATATTATTATGAATAGTTATTATTATTATAGATTAATTAATTGATCCAAGGGTCATTGTAGAATGAATTATTAATCCCTGGATTAGTATGAACCAATGAGAGATCATATGAAATTGATTAATTAGTGATCAATGAGGGGGTGATGCTCGTTGATGTGTTGGGTGGAAGAGTTGGCAAATACGATCAAACCTGAGGATACAAAGTGGCGATCATCTATCAAACAATCAATTGAATATCTATATGTGATGATGGATTAAATTTATTGTTATTATAATTACGATTTTATCCAAATGATCGCAATGAGGAATATTGTTGAAATTGATAGAATGAGTGAAGTGAAGATGGAAGTAGGAGGGGCATCATGTTTACCAAGTCTTTCTGAAACGAACAGAGACTGATTGACATACTCCAATGTATGAACAAACCTGGTCTGCGTTAGGCTCGTTTTGGATAAACTTAACAATGATCTCACCATAGTCTTGAATCGTCTGTTGGCAAGCAGAGATGATTGATGGATCTTGAAGGAGCTTGCAGTAGGTCTCGGCTTGTTGAATTGCTTGCTCGATGCTGGTAGCATTTGGAGTAATGCTAATCAGGTAGGCAGCAATCGACTCACAAATTCCACAGTAGTCAGTTTGTTTGATGTTTGGCTTGTACTCAATTGGCTCCTTGTGTGGGACGACCATCACCTGGCTCTTCTTCTCTGAGGGTACAACCATCACTTGCTTTCCAGTTTGGGCCTTACACAGGTGCATCTCTTGGCAAAMCCTTGGATGGAGAGAGCTCGGCAACCAACAATTGGATGATGATTGGAGTGTAGTTGTTGATGAAAGCATTGCAAGTGGACTCCCAGTCGGTCTGCACAAACATTGTGCACATATCACTGAGGTATCCCTCAATCTCTTGTTGAGTAGCATTCTTCTGGAGATAGTATTCAGCATGTGAGACCAAAGATACACAGACTGGACACTCAATGGACTGGTCAAGTGGATGTGGATCTACCTTGGAGGAACCGCACATTCCAAACTTTGCACATATCTCCTGAGGAGTCTCCTTGTTCAAGATAGACTCAATTATCTCTGTGAGATAATCATCAACTAATACGTGGCACTAAGTTATCATTTCTATTTATTAGTAAGGGAGAATAAACTTATGAATTCTTGTTTGATTAATTGGATACTTACATCTTGACCATAGATGCCTGGAATGTAGTTGCAGACTTTGTCAAGTTCAGCTTCAATGAATTGGACTGTTGCATTGTTCTCGAGGTATCTCTCAACAATTCCTACCAACATCTCGCAAACTATAGATTGAGTAAGGTTTTGATTGTTAGTAATATGTAGGGATGTTGAAGTTCACCATCATATTTAAAGACATACCAACACAATTTTGAGCTGTTGGAGCTTGCTTGTTGACAACTACAGCAGAGCTGAGTTGAACTGTACACAACACCAGCAATAATGCTGATGCCAAAAGAATGTATTTCATTATTAATAGAGATAATTAATTATTTGGAACTTTATAACAATGTATGTTCAACAATTGATTGATTGATTGATTGATTTGATGTTTGAATATTATTATTTATATGTATATGTGTGTGTGTATGTATGAATGATGTATGATGGATGAATGGAAAGGAGTGAGTGAAGGGTGTTGAGTGAGCTTGAGTGAACTGTGATGGGTGAATGAGTGAGATTGTGTGTTGGTTGGTATCCAACAATAATAATAATAATACAGATAGTGTGTGTTAGTGAAGTTGTAATTCAATTGGGTACCAAGGTGGCCTAGATTGGAAGTGTGTGTGTGTTAGTGTGTGAAAGGTCATTTACACTCAGTTCATCATCATCATTGACTTGTTGTGAACAAGAATATTCCAACGATACTTCATTCATAGTCCTTTTACTTCCAAGTCACCCAAACAGATAATATATATACAAATAATTAATATATTTTAATTCATTTCTCAACTATCCACGGATAATGTTGTACTTGGTGGATTGTCTGGACATTTGTAGTTCTTGATATAATTGATGGTGTTCTCCTCTATTAAATAGTTTGGCGCGGTACTTTGGTATCTCTTAAAGTCTTCAACTACTCTCCATATATCCATAAAGAAATCAAAGTTTATCAACTTTGGTACCTTTGAGAATACATCCAACATTGATTGTCCATTACCATTCTGTATCCATTGCTTATTCTCAATAGTGAACATCCTGCCAACATCCAACTTGAACAACTTCTACTCATTGGTAAACAGTTAGTATCATTTCAATCAATCAATGGATTGTACAGTAGCACTTACACCAAATGGTAAAGTTGATGGACTTGAGTTACTCCTTAGGAGTGATCGATAGGCTGCATAGTTGTGGTCCTCACTGAAGATGCTATTCAGTTCTTTGTAGGTGGCCAGTGAGATGGGATCAATCATGGTCCATGTCTTGGCAAGGTACTGAACCATTGGATGTTTGAGTCCATCAAGTATCTCGAAACATCCATTGTAGTTGGCAATGTGTTTCAGCTCGGTGGCAATATCAATGAACTTCTCGATTACATTGATACGAGTGTCCATATCCTTCTTGGTCATGATCTCTCCAGTGACCCAACTGGATATATTGATAAAGTGCCCAGTCAGTTTGAGCAAGTTGGGTATGTCGTACAATATCTTCTCTATCGATGTGGATAGATGGAAGAACTCCTTCTCCTCGACGGCACGATGATTTCCAGACTCCCAAAGTGTGATTTGTCGTGCCACTTCAATCGAGCTGAGGTCCAGCAGTGTCATCTCTGAGCCACGCTTCTTGGGTAGGACTGGGATGGGTGGACTCTCCGTTGGATCATGGACTGGCACTGTCTTGGTTTGTGACGAAGCATTCCCATTGGACATGAACACCGAGCTCACCTCGGGAGAGATGTAGGTGAGTATCTTGTCAAACACTTGTGGGCACTCCCTCTTGATCTTGCGCTGAATGAATCTGGTCATCTTCTCGGACAACTCGGTGTTGTCGATAAAGTCATAGCGATGCTCTCCAAGCCAGCGAGCAACAATAGAGGCTATGCGATGTTGTACCTCCTTTGTAGTGTCCAGTGCTTCGGGATAATACTTCAACTTGGCCTCGATCATCTCGTAGCACAGGATTAGTTGATCCATGAGTTGCATCCTCGTTGCGAATGCTCTGAAGGACAGCAGGAACACCTTGATGAAGGTCTCGTCGGTCTCCTTGGAGAAGCAGAGGTACTGAACGAGCGACTCGAACTTGCCACCTTTGACCCTAGGTGTGCATCCATCCTCCTCCACAATGATCAGACCGTTGGCATTGTTTGGTTGGCTCTTCATGTGGACAATGGCATTGTTTGCCGAGAAGGTCACCAACTCGTTGTCCTTGCGATGGTATGGATGGTCCTTGTTATTCATTCTTCTCCTTCTTCTTCGGCACAGGACAAACAACAGTACGGCCACTGCAATAAGAAGGACTCCTCCAACAACAGGTACAATGATCCACCAGATTGGAATGTGTTTGGTATTGCCAGCGTCACTATCATGTATGTAGTAGAACTTGGCCGAGGAGGAGAGTGCGTCTGATGCATAGCCATTGATTGTCACTTGTACCGGCATTGAAGGATCACTAACCTGTGGCTTGGCACTAGGCATCATGCAAACAATCATTGTACCATTGTTTCCAAGATTGAATGATCGACTACAATGATAGAAGTTGGCAATGGTAATATCGGTGGCCGCGCTACTTGTATTTCCAATGTCCAGGTACCTTCCACTGATTGTTATCCATCCACCATTAGACGAGCAAGGTGTGACAGAGTCCACGATGGGTTCTGGAATTGAATCAATCATTAGTAAATGATGGTCGTCGTACCCAGGGTAATGCAACTTACTTATAGTGTATGTATATTGATTGGAAGTACTGTTTTGGATTTGTAGACTAATACTTTGAGGACCTGGCCGAGTAAAGAGTTGGGGGATGGCGACTACTACTTGTTTGTGTTTGATGAATGAGCTTATGATGGCACCTTTGACACCATTGATAACTACATAGACAGACTTCTGGACTGCGCCAAAACTACTTCCATTGATCACAAGTGAAGTTGGTGTTTTCATCTGGACAGATGTAATGTTTGGACCTAATTGATTATTTGATGGAATTAGGTTATCTCTTTCTTGGATCATTCGATCAAACAAAGTATGTACTTACTTTTAAATTGTAGAATTTGATCATATTGTGAACCTCTGATGGTAAGTAGGATATTGGTCGATCTTGCGGTGATCTTCTCAGCATCCAATGTGGATAGTTTGAACATGCTCATGGTGCCATCAGGTTTGGATCCACTCTCCTCCAATGTCAATGGGATATCACTCAACTCCATGGTGTTGGCTGTTGGCTCATTGCTTTGTTGAAGGTACTCTCCATTGACAGTGATCACGCCACCTTCAGTTGGAACATTGCTGACTGATACCACAAGGCTTGGATTCCATTCATATGTTATACAATTGGAGGATGAGTCGCATAGATCAATCTCACCCTTGAACACTGATGTCTGATTGAATCCAAGTGTCATCTCCTCATCGGTTTGTTTCAATATTTCCAAATCATTCTGTAACTCTGTTCCATCATCCAAGTATTGCTTGACATATACCTGGGTCAACAATGTGAGTTCTGTTCCACTCAACACCACCTTTCCATGGCTCTGATAATCCAATGTCAATACTTCCTCTACATTGTGATTAGGTGGTATGTTAGTTTGATGCATTGGATGAATGATTGGATGAATGATCATACGGCCATGGATTTGATCCAGAGTCATGGACAAGATTATGAACATAAACAACATGGTCCAATGGAGGCTTATGGATAAATTGGTCATTTTAAAGTTGATCCTTCATTAAATGGAATACCAAAGAATAAGAATTCAAATGAATAAGTAAGTAATCTATTATTATGATTGATTATTATTATACAGATAAAGGTTGGGGCGGGGAAAGAGATAAGATAATGGTACAGATGGGTATTAAATATGTGTAATAGTATTAGATGATGTGTGACATATAATGACACATTAATTAACACCCGTTCAATTATCTGCAGCTGTTAATTAATGTTACATACTTATATCCATGATGTATGAGTGAAAGGGTCTCTCTCTTCTCTTTCACCTCCATCTCACTCTCTGACGAATAGGACAATACAATCTCCTGCTGCGGGTAACACTCTTAATTGATTGATTGATTGATTGATTAGAAAGAGGTAGTGGATGAGTGGAGATATAGGTGCCAAGACACATCAATCAATCAATCACACACTCACACATCACTAATGACACTTCGCACTTCACTCATCACACTTCACACATCACACATCACTTCAATGATTGATCAATCAATCAATAAACTTGGGTGAGTGTGAGTGTGATGTGACATCATGCTATTGTATCGATGATCGATCGGCCCTTTACATCAATGATATATGTTGTTGTTATTTGAATGATAATACATATTATATTTATATTATTTTATAAGTATAATTAATGTATCTTTACAAACAAATACAACTTGAAGTTGTAATAGAAGAGTGAGAGAAGGAAGAGAGAGAAGGCAAGGTCGACAAGATGAAACTTGATCAACTTTTCAAAATCTTAGGAATGCTCTGGGAATGAAGGACTAATGATGGACCTGCCTGTCACTTGAAGTGTCAAGGTTTGGGGTACCAAACCACGACGACCCATTACATCTTTGTCTTTGCCCTAGGAGGAGGCGAAGATGACCAGTCCTGAATCTGATGGTTGACTAGTACAAAGCCCATCTTTCGACMYCTTGACTTATATCCTTAACCTAGGAGGTTGCCGCATGTCCTGCCAAACAGGTCCATAAATATACAAAAGACCCCTAGTCTTGGGGCGAAAGTGATCGTTTCGCTCAAGGTGGCACGTCGCAAATTAAGATCTTTTGATCACTGATATTTGTTAGGAGAATGCAACCAGCCCATTAACAACATGTTGATAAGATAATGTCGAACGTTCCGACAAGGAATAGATACCTCTAGACCATATCATTCACTTACTTTTCACATAATACAAGAGATAGATAATATAAAGAGGTAGAGATAGAGAATGACAAAGTCAACAATATTAATATTATTATTGACATTGTTATCAAGTATACTATACTATGATGGATTACAACATGTTGTCGTGGAGGCAAGATGGAACATCGATCAATCAGCCAAGTTATTAAATAAGAAGGCCAGTGTACTTGGAATGAACTTTGACTATGCTCTGATAGACCTGTCACTGGATCGTGATCTATACACCTATACATCGATACCATGCGCAAACTTTACCTTTGAGGTACTCAATCAGCCAAAAGACTGTTCATGTGACTATGCAAGTCAGACCAAGTGTGGCAGTACAGTGTCGGGCGACCCGTCCTGTCCGCAATGCACCAGCGCAGTCGCAATGTGTAATTCGAACCGCAAGTGGTACACATTGGATCCTCTGGTTAACAATACAGTGGAGGTATCAACCGACGATATGGGCGTAACTACCACAATAGCCTACCGATCATTGGAGATAAGATATCAATATGTGTTTAATTCATCGATCCCAGCAGAGTCTCTGATGGTATGTACTATATATACATGGAAACACATACTTACATGCATACTAACTTAACTAAATCAAAGTTGACAGCAGAGATGATTGATAGGACCAATGCAACATCAGGAATAGCGTTTCAAACTGGAATACTATCACAGACAATGAAGAATTTACCAAATAGAGTTGTACATTGTCCAGACTCTGTAAGGCAGGGTAACATGACAAGTGTTACATTGATATTCTCTTTGATATCAATTGAATACGTTGGAAAGATTAGGATTAGGTTGGATGCATCTTCAGTGCCCAATGTGGCACCTTCGCCATCACAATGCAACAATATTACCAACACACATACATGCATTACTGATGGACAGACATTCAATGTGGGCACACCAACACTATATACATTCCTAGTTGATCGACCCATGAACCTATCATTTATGTGTGCACCGGTAGTATTGGATCTTGTGGAGATGGATGTGTATGTGTCTGATCTAGTACCCAATCCAGATATGACCAATCACAAATGGATGTTTGCTAATGGACATAGTAAGTTAGTTCAAAGGAGGCTGACCATTCAAGTGCCATCAAACATACTAATCAATCATTCAATCAAACAGAGTTGGCTGGAGTTTTTGGAGTGATGCCATTGACACCTTGGCCCAATGGAACTGCAAAGGTGCTGTATGTGAGCATCAACACTATTAGGCCTAAGCCATGCACTTTCACATCACATGTGAAGCCTTGGTTGATTCCAGTGCACACACGCGATCGTGTCGATTCGATCACCAGAGTATATAATGGAGCACAGCTCATCAATCCCGATGGCTCATTGATGTTCAATCAGAGAGCACCTGCAACAAATCTACCATACCTCTACTTTGGATTCCCATGGTCCACTCCTTTCATCAACTCGTACCCAGTTGAGACGGCCAACCCATTTGCACCAGTGCCAGTGTCAATCAAGAGTGATCAATACCTTAGTCAACTCTACCTATCCGAGTATGTTGACAAGATCAGTGTGCCCTCGAGTCCATTCAAGCCCAAGTCATTCCAGGCTAACTACCAACTCTCCAAACAAGTTGATGACTATCGTATACTGTTCAACAACTATGACTCCATTTCCAAAGCCAAACTCAAGTTCACAGGATTACTTTTTGACATTGATGGAAATGTAAGTCATATTCACTGGAACTATTCCAATCATTCAGTCAATCACTAATTCAATCACTCAACAATAGTCTCTGGATAATGTTTTGGACTTTTTTCAACAATCATCTGATCAATGTAATTACATAAAGTATGAGGATATTATGACGCTTATCAAGGTTTATCAAGCCAACATGTCAGCGACAAGTAATGATTATCAGATGGTCAGTCTAAGATACAACATGGACGTCTTGTCATTCATGGACGCTTGGCAATCCTGTGTGAATCAGTCGCAAAACTACATGATGGTGAAGTCGGAGAACATCACGGTGACGACCAACTCGTGTCCAGACATCTACATCAGATCTGGAGAGTACAACTCTGATCCATGTTGTAATAAGTACGCCAAGTTTGCACAGTGTTGTCAACCGAGACAAGTGACCATCTCTGTGGACAGTCTGGTTGGCTTCCACACCGACCAGCTCAACCAGCAATGCACCAGTCCAACATGCACTCAATCAGTTCTGCAAGACTTCCACACATCATCGTCTCGTATTGCCAAAGGTGAATGCTCACTCTCACTTCTTCAATACAATCGTGGACAATATGAGCTGGTCCAGCTTCTGCAGCGATGCAAGGACCTCGCGTATACAATGTCATGGTGTGACAACGACACTCAATGCGAGCAGGCTGGTAGCACATGCAACATTCTCACACGCAAATGTATGATCCCGTTGGTCGTTCAAGACCGAACATACATCACATGTGTGCTCAATGGCTCATCCATCTCGACATTGTTCAATCTCCAAAGACAACTCATCTCTAGCTTGAACACAAGTTCAAGTTCAGACTCGAGCATCCAGCATATAACCGACATGGTCTTCAAGACGTACAGGGTGAACGACTGTACATCCCCTGTTACCAACACCTTTCGCTCATATTACGTCTACATGATACCCGGCCAGAGTGGAGTGTGTTTGGACCGATACTGTCCAATGCAACATAGGACATTCATGGACTATGGCAACCAAGTGGGATCCCAACGCTACCTCATGCCACCTGAAATATGCATCTACAATGGATACTGCCCTCACAACCCATACCCGTGCACGTCGGCCTACCAAGGCTGTGCAGACTGTACCAACAAACATGACTTTTGTGGCGTGTGCGCCGAGCAGACGCCATGTCGAGTGCTCAGTTACCCTCAGGCAACTTGTAATAACCTCACATCGGTGTGTGTACAACCCAATGGAGCCGTGCAGGTTGTTAACACCACATCACAGTGTGCCGACCTCGGACAATGTACCGGTGATTGTGGAGTGCAGTGTTTGGGCCCGACAACGTGCATCACCAATCTAACACAGATCCTATGTGGTAGCAACAACGCAAGCCTCACGTTCGCGTACAGGGTAGAGACCAATACATGCATGATCACCAACACCGACAAGGCCACATGCCAACAGATGGGCTATTCTTGGGTGGACTGCGTCACACTGACACCCGGCGAGTGTGCCCGTACGAGGAACAAGATGATCTGTAGAGTGGCACCCAAACCATGCTATACTAGAGAGGAGTGTGAGTCGTCGGGTGGCACATGCTCGGATACGTCCTACTTCCAGGATACCTATCATCAAACTCGAGCAGTTGGTCTGTGCGTACACGGGCACACGTCCATCGTTCAGCCACTCAACCAACCAGCATGTCCAATTAACGAAGATGACAGCCCAATGGGATGCTCTGATCAGTTCTCGATATCAACGAGAGAGGAGTGTCAAGCCAAGGGCGTTGGGTTCACTTGGTGGGAGGCATCGTTCAATCAATCATCGTGTGAGTCACACATGGGTTGCCTGATGACAGACTTCTCCAACACAACCACAGGCCAATCGCGATACAATGACATGACTCAAGATCAATGCACTCAATGTCAGTCCAGTGCCGACATGTACAAGTGGTCACAAAAGTTCAAGTGGACACCTGGCCGATGGTTGCCTGGTCTGATGGCCAAACCAAAGTGGTACTCTGGCAACGAGCTCAACTTTGTCAACACATCAAGGTTCGGTGACTCATTCAATCTTGATGGATTCGCCACAGCCATGTCCAACATGATGAAGTATGATCTCATTCGCTCGACATGTCAATTCCAAGGAGTACAGGACAGTGTTGATGCTGTGTCATGCAGTTGCTCTGGATCGGGTGTCAGTCAATGCTTCCAATCAACATCCGTACCAACTCAATCACTTCAAGCGTGCGCCACTGTGCCCAAGCAGTACCCTATCAACAATGGATACATACAGTTTGACGAGACATCAGTTCCAGAGTCGTGCGTTCAGGTCACAGTGTCGGAGCTCACGCGTGAGACTTATGCTTCGCCACCAACTCGCGTGCCACTCAGTGCCGAGTTCTTCAGTTACAAGCCATCAGTCAAGTATGGAATAACAAATGACAATGGAGTGTTCATCGGTGTAATCACAAACAATGGCATCAATGTCCAGGGTCCGGTCGATCACTTTACAATCTGTCAATCAATCTCAATCGCGGCTCAGGGCGATTTCAACATCGATGACTTTGCGCTGGTTTTGGACAACAGTACAAATGCCCCTCTCAGACCCATGGAGGTCAAGCTCAGCCGTGGCCAGCCTTACCTCTGTGCCGAATTCACAAGGCAGTCACAGTCTGGCGCCGCCAACACTAGCATCATATTGTTCCCGATCATCAGAATTGCCGACTGGAAGGACTCCAAGGAGTTCTTCACCAAGTCGCAGACAGTGTTGATGTACATCTTGGCAGTGATCTATGCACTCTGCGCACTCTGGGGATTGTTCCAGATCAGTGTGATTGTGATGAGATTGATCAGAAGGATTGAGGGACCTAAGTTGGCACATGCACTAATCACATCAATCACATGTTATACATTCATCCGAGCGATATACTTCTTCATTCTTCCAACTGGCACGTTGTACTCATCGACTGTATCAGACTATGTGTTGGTGATTCTGCCAACATTCATCTACTTCACTTGCTTCTCATTCATTCTTGGATTGTGGTACATCCTGGTCAGTCCCAACATTGTCCAAGACTACATGAAGCGATTGAGCAGGACGATCATCATACTCAATGGAG